TACAAGAAACTGATTTACTATAAAGTACCTCTTACCATAGTATATTTTATTCACCTAAACAAAATAAAAAATATCTTGCTCATGTTAAGCTTAAGGTTCGAAGCATTCGTTACATAATATCTATTTGCCGAATAGGCAATAATTCGATCAAACATTCAACGAAAGGTCAGGAGATAGGCCACTCAGAATAGAACAAAATGATCACCATATGTCTTATCTACACTTATAGAATTCGACTTCAAAATCAGAAAACAGATGTTCTTGATAAAGATCGCTCACTCATTATTATTATTAATGGATTTATTCAATATTATATTTTGGTATAATATAGAATTCTCAGCACAGGGTATTTCAACAAGTTTCTTACGCAAAAAAACAGAAACAAAGACAAAAACGAAAAAAAGGTCTAAAAAAAGACAACCGGAAAACTGTACAACTTTTCAAATTAGAGACATGTTAAGAATGCAGGTTATTGACTAGGTTAACTCTAACAACCTGTTCGTCACAGAGTATATTTGCTAGGTAAGGTATTATAGAACTTTTATACTTTTGCTTGCGTGCATGGATTCTAATGTAATTACGTCTCGTTCTACAAGAAGCTATACAAGGAGAAACATAAGAGTGAAGGGGATGGTTAGTATCTGATAAAATAACACCTGCCAGGAGTTTGCATGACTTTAGATGTCTATCCACAACTATATTAATTATAACCTCGAAAGATTCACCACACCCCGTGCTAACTGCCTTCAGCACTCCTCGCAATACAGCAAAGTCTTTTCTCAAAAGCCCGGGAAAGAATAATGGAGAACAGTAAAGAATAATAGGTAATATGCGAGAACTGACGAATTTTAAGAGTAAATGACGAGTAATCCCAAGAGCATGCAATCTCTTTATGTAGTAGGTCAGACGGAAAACCTTCTTCGATAACGATAAAACGTGGGAAGACCAAGACAGATCAGAGGAAAAGGTGACACCAAGATAATTGACCTTCGGCACTGAGTTTATCAAAGTCTCCGATGGTACAAGCATTATGGGATCTCAAAATAGTGTTTATATTCCGTTCATGTCTCATGCTAAAGTTAACAGCTTGATATTTAGACGGATTAAGTATGAGACCATTACCAACAGACCAACAACCAATACGAGACAAAAACTCATTCATTTTATGGGATATAAGGAGGAAGAGATAGGCATACATATAGTGAGATGATCCGCACATTTCACAAAAGTGTTTTCTGTGGAAGATGTCAGGTCATGCAGAAAAAAAGTGGAAAGAAGAGATTAAAGAAAAGCTCCTTGTGGTACACCTTCATGAGACAGTAGAGACTCTGAACACTTTACTCCAAATAAAGTGTACTGTTCCCTTCCAGCGAGGTAGGAACATACCCGGTTCGTTATCCAGCTGTCAGTGTTGACACTGATTAACTTGTTAAGCAAACGTTGTCTTGGTATAGAATCAAAAGCTGAACTATAGTCCAGAAAAGCGAATCGAACTTACTTCCCACTTTTTTCTAAGTTGAACACTATATTGTGATGCAGAACAGCAACACCATCTAAGGTGCTTCTTTTGCATCTGTAAGCAAACTGATACGGATCAATATGCCCTTTTATCGCATGCTGAAGTGGAAGTATTAATAATTTTTCCATTGTTTTGAGGAAAAGTGAAGTAATTGCAATAGGTCTAAATTTCACATTTTTATCGCCAGATACTTTCTTGGGTACAGGGATTATCTTCATCTTTCTCCACATGCTCGGTATGAGATTAGATGGGAAGGATCTGTTAAAGAGAGCCGTGAATGGATAACATAGGACGTCAGCACATTTTTAAAAAGGAGGTTTGGGATACCATCAGGTCCTAAACATCGGGATGAATTAAGTGACTGGAGACATTTCCGGACATCAGTTTCGGTGGAACTAGGAACATAGCTATTCTTTAAAAATGTGGATAAGGGGAGCATTACATCAGATGACTGACGTACAAAAGACTTATTTAAGTCACAAACACTCAGCTGGTTATCACTGTTAATCTGTCTGTCACCTGTAAATTCTTTAGAGTTTCCACATACTTAGAGAGTTTTTACAAAACAGGAATTTTTCGGGTAAACATAGAGTTGAGACGTCCAATCTATAGTTTTATCAGACCATTTAGCTTACGAATTTCATTAGCGTTCTTCTCCTTGTACATTCTTTCTTTCACCCTCCGCAGTCGTTTTAGTTGTGGAGATGTAGGTCGATCAAAACTTACAAAAATGGTTTCAGTGGGACAATAAATATCAAAACAGAATTTAAGATAACGAGTGACAACACCAGCAGTGTTTTTCAGTGAGCCATCTGTAAATAATTCCCAGTTAGTCGTACGAGACACGTTTTTCAGATTGCGAATATTTTCTTCTGAGTAATTCCGATATTTGACTTTCTTGGTTTGATGTAAGAGTGTACTCTTTCCATGCTTTCCATGTACTTTACGTAGAACACGAATTATACAGTGATCCCAGCTAGAAAATGGAGCACGTTACCCACATCATTAATGAAAACGAAGTCTAAATGAGCATTCAAACGGGTAGGAAAATCTACTACATTTTGGTGATCTAGTGACGTAAGGAAGCTACAGTCACATGAATTGAAATCACCACATACAATTGAAAGTGAATTACTGAAGGCAGTAACAGCGAACTCAGTGAATTCATCAGCGAAAACAGATAGCGCAGATGATGTGCAGTCTGGAGTCACGTGGATATTGATAAAATAAACATATTTGTATTTATTCAGATGTTTTGGACGGCATCTTAGAGTTAGACAGTCGACAAAGTCATTTGAAAACTTGAAACACACATACGGAGATCGACACCAGTTCACGTTTACAAACGTAGCTAGACCAGCGCCACACTCCTTTTTTATTGTTTGATCGATCCTGACGATAAATTTTGAAATCACGTAGTGATACTAGTCAGTTTTCCTGTAAATCAACTAACTAAGATTCTTGCATTGTGATGACACCACAATTACGATATATATTTTGACTTAGTAGGAATTGCAGATAGTCCACTTTGTTGACTAGTGATCAGCAGTTAGAATTCAGCAGCTCGGGAATCGACATACGATTAATATTCATTCTCTTTAATGCATACTGCCAACCACCACAATGTCTTTTATAGTACTTTTTGTAACTTGTGCGGCGAAAGGTCGTAGGCTTTTTATAAAAGCGCCTGTACAGGTTATACGATCAATGGTCATAATGACACGTTAAAACAAGATAAAAGAAAAGATAACTTGTTGAAATAATTAGCTGGCAGAAACAGGTGGCCCAGATACTCAAGCAGGCCGCTAATCTAAGCGGATTAGAGTTATAACTTCCAGTGAACTATCAAAGTACAACAAGTCTTTGACAATATGATATATTTCAAATGGTTGTGGACGGAATAGAAGAAGCTTTCGCCTAACAGGCTTCCGTGTCTAGTAGCAGGGGATCACCAAATCCTCCAGGCAGGAACCTAGGTATGTTAACAATAAAAGAGGAAAAGAAATTGGTAAATCATAGTGTGATGCTGTCCTTGGTTCTTAAGAATAGGTCAAGTTGCCTCTTGAAGGACTCCTGAGAAGTCGCTTGGACTAGCTCGGCCGGCAGCGAATTCCAGCTTTTGACAACTCTTAAGGAGTAGAAGTTGTGTCTACATTCCGTCTTGCTATGTTGTGTTTCCAGTTTCTGGGTGTTACCCCTTAGGTTATTATTCGAACTAAGCTTAAGTAGGTGTTTAAGAGGATGTCCAGAAGTGTTAAGAATACTATAAGCCATTAATAAATCACCTCTAAGACGCCTATATTCTAGTGGGTAAAGGTCTAGTGAACGGAGGCGTTCTTCGTAAGGCTTAGATTTGAGTCCTTGAACTGATTTCGTGGCTCGCCGTTGGATACGCTCCAAAGTGACCTTGTCCTTTTGGAGTAAGGGGGTGAGTACTATGTTTCCGTACTCTAAATGGGGACGGATGAAACTATTGAAGATTATATGGAAAGTTCTTCCGTCAAACTGGCCAAAAATGCGCCTCAACGTTACCAGTGCAAGGTTTGCTTGGAAGGCATTTTTGTCACAGTTAGCGTAAGACTTTAAGTCATGGGGCACCAGGACTCCTAAATCTTTTTCGACTTGGGATACTACTATTTGCCTCCCATTCCCTTTTAATAATACACTCCCGATGTTAACATCACTCAGATCCACGTACAACCGACTGACGAGTTGCGAATACGTTGAAATGCACGCTATATGCTCCATTACTAGCCACAATACGTCTATTTTTTCTGATAAAGATCCCGCATGAACTTCAGGCCGTTAATGAGTAGTAGACACCGGTAATCACGCTTGTCTCAATTGTTCGAAAAAAGAAGCTAATGACACCACATCCTATTCTATACATAGGACCAGACGTAATCTACATCTGTATCAACCGGAAAATGGACAAATCATTTCTTTTATGCCTGTGCAAATCCTGTTAAGTGATGCCGAATATTTCCCCCAACACCTTAGAAAAGTAACCCCCCAGATACTAACGGCTATTGTGATAAGACATCAATGAAGTTGGTAGATAATTAGATGAGTAAATTAAATCTCTTTTCAATGAGAATCTCTCGCTTTATTTTTACGGATAGTCACCAACAAAATCAAATTTAGAACAAAATAAATTTCTGCCCAAAATAAGTTCCGTACTACACTATTGTATTCACTTCCATAATTTTAATGTAAAACGTAAAAAAGCTGTTTCCTATGCTTTATAACTGTGAAGCGTTAAACTAAAATCAATAGACGACTATGAGGAATACAAAAATATTTACAAAAGATATTATGAAAAATAGAATTTCGCGATGGGATAATAGGAGTTCCCTAGCTAAATTAATTAACGATATGTTAATTCGAATATACACGAAAGTATTGAGTCCATCAATCTCTTAGTAACAGTTGAATATGTGTGTTTTTTTTATCTGAATAAGACGAAAACCCACTGTCTTTTAAATAAATTATATGATGAAACTCATTTTTATTATTTATCATTGATTATAAAATTGATAAATAAGAGCAATTTACATAATTTATACTTTTGGAAAATGAAAGAATTTTCATTTGGATTCTATACTAATCACCCAATACATATTTTCATGAGTAATTCAAAAAGTACATATATCAATTATTTCCATTTCGCTCTCTACTCAAATTAAAGTTTTCATGTAAACAGAGATGGAGGGAGAAAAATAATTAATGATTATTGACTGCTAGCGATGTTAGTCATAACAAAAATATTACAAACATCTAAATAATGACATAAACATTTATTCTTCTTGAAAATATGAATCTTAAATACATTTAAAACAAATAATAATGAATGTATTTGTCTCAGTCTATATTTAATGAAAGGACTAATAGTGCATATTGGTAACGCTACGCTATCACTACTTACCAGTAATAATAGTAATAGTAGTGATAGTGAGTTACACATACGTATACAAAAACATGAGCATACATGATTTCAATCATTCTGTTGTGTTTACTCAGCAACAAAGAAGAGTTTGAATAGAAAAGAAGAAATGAAGTACTGAAAGACAGAAACTTGAAAGATACGAACAACCTTCAAGTACGTTAGGTAAATGGTTCTTTTAGCAGAAATTGTTCGTTTACACGTACATATATGCTTAAATGGATAGATTAATAGATGCATTGTATCCGCTTTTCATTAATCTGTTCGTTCGGTTTTAAACGAGTATTTACAAAATATTATAACAACCATTGTCGTAATCAAACAAAAATGTTAAGATAAAAATTCTCAGTTCTCCATACTCCCTGTCTCTCATTTTTACACATCGGAAATATCACCTGATGAATAGTTTGACTGTTTGGATTCAGAAGATAAGCACTGGTGTTCAGCTTTTTTATTTCCACTTGAATAGTCATTTGTAAACATATTTGATTTTAAATTGGAAAACGCTTCAGATAAATTGATAAGTTTTTTCTTTTCATCGACAATCTGTTCGTCCTCATCCTCATGTAGTTGTGGCCACTGCTGCTTGTCTTCCTTCTTCTTATTGATTCTCTTTCCATCACTTACTGTTTTGTGAACAGAAGATGACGTTAATTGGGAAATTTCTTGTTGATTCATTGTTCTACTGTTAGGTGTTTTAATGATGGTAAAAGTTTGCAGTGGATTAGATTTTACAACTGGTTCACCAAGAGTACTCGTTGATGCAGTTGACTCTATTGCTTTAGTCATTGAAATTGTTGAAGTACTTGAATTAGCCAAACAAACTAATGGTGCCACTAACGATGATGAGTCAGTTCCATATGTATCATGTAAACAACCACCTTGCTGATCAAATAGACAAACACCTAGTTAAAAGAAACATATGCGTACATATATGGGACAGAATACAATTATAAATAAAAAGCTCACTACATTGACTAAATAGTTATAATTGTTGAGTGATTCCTAAGTTGAAAGAAGTTGTTTCCTCCTATCATAATTAAAATAATTTTACTAACTAACAGAACTGTAAACAATTACCATCTAAAATTATTTATGATAGATTTTCCAAGTAGTAAAATATTACTAAAAACATCGTGTTTTTGTCAACATAATGTTGTTATAACAACTATTATCTTCAAGAAAAGACATGATATATTATTAATTCGTTGCGAACATTCTTGAGGTGAAAGAAGAATAACATATTATTAACATCTGCGGGTGAAATGATAAAAATGATCAATACAGTTCTCTTCCCATCAATTCTGATCCCTTTTTAAACATAATAATAATTACCATTTGCTCACTAGTGACTAGCTTCGAGAGGAAATTCTAGGAGTACTAGTGAGAAGCTGTGACCAGTGAGGCTAATCCGTGTCGGGCGTAAGGTAGTTACCCACTGAAGAAAATAGAAGATAGTCGTGCAATTTCGTGGACTGATTGAAGTTAGACATTCACATCGTTAGGCATCTTACCGTCGGAGACGGAAATCCGTTAGGTAAGGCGAGGTGTGTATTTTTAGGGTCGGTCTTTTCTTAACCCACCCCTCCTTGTGAGAAGGCGGCATCGCTGTTATGCTGGTTGTCTGAAGGAAACAACTTACTGCCGTTACACCTCTGTACAGTCAGTAGTACGACCTTGCCCTGGAACCTTAGGTTTGCTGCTTTTAGTCTTACTGCTCTTCAACCAACCTTTCTGTCATGGTAGAACCTTGAGGAACGATTGTTCCAACCAGTATAGCTCGATTGGTTCATTGAGATAGGCAAATCCGACCACCATGTCAAGCTAGCAGAAACGATCGGTCAGATTTAAATTGACTTATTAGTTACTTTTATACGATTTACCACTCCTAATCTGTTGCCAGTGTGTTATTTACTGTCTTCTCTAATCACAGTCACTCTTTGGCATACTCATGTATAATTTCTATTTTTCACCTTATGGTGTGATGTGGTCTGGTATCCCTGTATATAAACTATGTCTGGTTGAAATATAATATTGTGGAGGCTGATCACTAACTTCTGAACTCAAGGACCGGGAAGAGAGAGAATCACAGAATAGTGGACAGTAAGGACTTAACAGTTGACTCAAAGTTACTAGTGCTGAGACGGATTCCGAATGGTGTTTTTTCAAATGATATTAGTGGGTGACCATAAGACACGAGTTTTTTTAATCTGGACGATGAGATTTGATTTTCTTAAAGGATATTATTTGTGATAAAAACTTATTCATATATATATATATATATATATATATATATATATATATATATATATATATATTATTTCGCTGGATAAATTATCAGTAAAATTAGCAAGTATTTTAAATAATTCGTGTCAAATAATAACGCCTATTATTAAATTTTTCAATAATGAGACAATTCCATTGACAGTTTACTTGGAACAAAAAGAATCTTCAATTAAATTTATCTTTCGAATGGAATCGGTATCAGTATTATATTATCAGTAATATATTTTTGCTCTCACTTCAATCATATACACTGTATAAAAGGAACTTGTTCTTAAGAATTCTGAGTTGTTTGAACTGAAAATATAAATAATCTCTACAAAAATATTTTGTAAGCTAAATGCTAGTTGGAGCTTTTTTTTAAAATTCCAATGGGAAAAATAACTAGAAATGTTTGATCGTGAATTTCATTCACTTAGACAAATTAATCTGGTCATATGTAAATGTTGTTTCACACATAACAAAGTTCACTATTTTTCCTCTAAACGTATTTACCAAATACAATTTTATGACGTCAGATTTGAACCATGTTGTTTGGTTGGGTGATTAGTGATGCTACTCAGTTGCCCGAAGTAACCATAGGTAGAGTGCAGTTTGAACATGAGACCTATTGGTCGTAAAACGGTTATCTTAACTAACATTAGCTTTTCTATTTATCTTAGAAAATCAACAACGATGGACCTCAAAAATAAATATCATTAAATAGACAATAATAGTTATCCGACAGATATTTTTTTTGTACAATATTTAACTTTAATTTAAGGTAAGAGTTTATCAGTAGTTATCATTCTAAATCATGCTTGATTCATTATTCCTTCAGTGATTTAACTGTGAAGTAGTCACGAAAACAAAATGAATAAATCATCTTACTAAATTTATGATTCATTGATAATGTCTAACCATTCCAGACGTGATTATTCAACTTAAAAGATTAATAGATATTTTTAATTAGTCTAATTACTTCATATTCATTATCCCAAACAAAATGTTGATATATAAACTCAGAAAAAACACAATAAATAATTCACATGTGAAAAAAACTGCATCATTCTGAATTAGCTGAATAAGTAGTATGGTAATATTTAGGTTACCAAACATCAGTTCTTGATTTACACTAATTAATCTCTAAATAGTAGTAACCAATGTCATGTTTTCTTAATCGAAATATATTCAATATGAACACTAGCCTAAGTAATTCAAAACCTTTGATTCAAATCCTATAGAGAGTATCAGGTCTATTAAGACTGTAGATGAGTCCTGCTGACGAGTGCCAGCTAGCAACAAAACACGCGGTTACTTACACTTAAATGATTCATAATTTTAAACTTCAACATATTATTTCATAAAATATGACCATAACTAAATCTTATCAGTTAACATTCTCTTCAAATCCTAATCAGGTTAACCACACAAGTGATGACATCCAAATGAATTTCCGATGATTCATTCTACACCAAGAATATAGCTGAGTATTGAATTGTTTTCAAATTAAATCGCAAAATATAAACAACCGAACTAGAACCTAACTACCAGATGATAATAATAATGGTCTGTCCACCTTCAAATATGTACATGTTAATATCATGAACTTATAAATATAACGAGCAATTGGTTAGAATTCTACTCAAAATTACCTGGGCGTACACTTTCACCAATCTTACCACTGCTATCCTTATTAGTATTATTATTGTCATTGTCATTTATAAACTTTCTTATTTGCACAGGCGGTGATTGTTCAGCTCTTTTCGTTCCAGTTATTACATTTGTACTGATTCGTTTAACACTACTACTGCTACTATTTAAGTGCATACCACGTGTATTTGCCGGATCAAAACGGTTGTTGACAATCATTGTGTGTTGGTTATTACACATATAATTTTTACTACCAACAATGCCATTGTTATAACCAGTACTTGTGTTGTTAGTTAAAAACTTTTCGCGTATAAATTGAGGTGGGAAATCAAGCAAACTGTAAAAAAAGAGAAAGGTGTAGGAAAACAAAAAACATTCCCTATATATATAAGACTACATTTCCTGTGTTTACCTTCAATCAATAGGTCTTATTGTCTTTAACCAAAAACCCTCATATGCATTCCAACATAACTTTAATTGATGTGCTGTTTCGAGACAAATAAATCATACACATCCTAGCCACTTCGGTGGACGTGTATCCATATATATCACCTCGACCTAAATGACATTAGAAAAAAGTTGACGAGTAGTTAGAGAGCAACCTAACAACACAAACGGTATAGGCTGTGATAAATAAAATCACATCTCGATTGACTTAGAGTTAGAATCAAGTAAAACAATATTTATCAAATGCTAACGGCTGAGCAGCATGAAGTTTCAATGCAGAAATCAATGATCACAGTGTGCTGTAAAAAGTGGCTACATGTACTTAAGGCAGAAGAGGTAAGTCCAGCTTTAGATACACAATCGCTCTCAGCCAAAAATTAAAACACGGTAACATCTTGGGCTTGGAAACAATAATTAGTTCTTAATAACCTCCACCTCTTGAACCTCGACAGTTAATCTGCCTTCAAAATATACGAAAATGTTCGCAAAACCCCTGTCTCTATTGAAGTCAAGAGTATAACTGAAGTTATACTTCTGAATAGACAGAAACACATCGAATTCGACATATAAATATTTCCAATAACTTACGATGCGATCTTCCGTAGTTTCGTTTGTTCAACGACTGTTTTACCACGGGACAATAATTGCCGAGCTGTCATACAACGTATATGATCTTCAAATAGAAACTTTGCAACCATAATCGGCGATTTACTATCAGTATTATTAATATTACTGAATAATCGTCCAGGACTGGAATTCTGACAGGTTAAATGACCAGGGGCATGAATGGTCACATGAAGACAACGACTATCAGCTGGATCACAATGAGATTCCAAATCCTATTTATGCAATAAATTAAAAAACGAAATAAAACAAAACACTAGAACTGTGAAATCATCTTGTTCATCTAGAAACCAATTTTAGATAAAGTGCACATTAGACTGAGGGAAATCTTTGTTATGTTGTAGTAATATTATTAAAGACTTAGTTGAACAGGTTTTGTAGATTAGTTTATTATTATAAAAACTGGTTTACATTGTCGATTATTATCAGCCTGGGAGTTGGTGAACATCAAGTAGCACTGAACAGTTGCTCCATTCTCGTTCAGGAACTCTCCATCAACATTATACAAAAATTAGTTTAAGAGTGAATAACTTTTGGTGGAGTTTTGGTCACGACCAAAACCATCCAGCTCAGAGAACAAAACTCCACCCAAATCATCCACCTGAGCTACAAATCTTCTTCACCATCTCAGAGTGAATAACCAATCTTACATTTAGAGATGAATTAATTGATAAAAACGTTTTAAGAAACTAAACTCAAAGATGACGAAAATTGAAAGTTAAGTAAAAATAAAATCGTATAGGATTTGATTCGTTGACTCAAGTCATCATCAGAGTAACACTTGTCACGAATGTACAACAACCCAAGTTGTCGTATACCCCACCAGTACAGTGAAAGGAAAATTAACAAAACAAGTACTTAAGGAAAAAAATTAACTAGTTTCAACTCCTGTGCAAACCAAAACGATGAAAGAAACATTTCGGATGGAACAAATGAGATTGGAGATTGAAAGGTTAATCATAACACTCAAATACAGATTTAGAACATAAATAATGAATGTAGCTGTAGTAGTGCAATCGATTTTGCACTATGCATGAGACACTTGATTTAAAGCATTGTGTAGACATTGACCAAGGTGTCAGTACTACTGACTTGGAATTTTACCGACTGAACATTGGAATCGAACTAACTATGTATTAAGTTTACTTTGAACATCAGATTTTGTCCATGACTTTATCAAGTGAATGCGTTCATGAATATATAAGACAAAATCACAGTATTTTTGCGAAAGAAAAACAAACTAGGAAGTCTCATATGTCATAAAGAGAACCAGTGAATAATGAACACCTAGGTATTGAGTACAAAAAGAATTAATTTTATGGATCAAAATGTAGAACGACAATTGCATTTAATAACAAATATATATTTTTTTGTGATATCCCAATAAGTAGAAAATTGTCTTTGTAATTTACTGACACCAAGATTAATAATCGAAGATTTGTTTACTATCTATCATTCTTGTTCAATTGTTCAACATGAATTTACAAAAATTAATTTAATCAGTTTCATTCAATAATAATAGTAATTACTTCCAATTTCTTCCAGATTCAATCATTTTTTTTCAAAAAAATCACTTAATCCGAATATAAATACATTCAGCCTAAGACTAGCTTTTTTCTAACTGAACACTGATAGAATGCAAAGTTTTTGATCTCATTGAGCAACAATGCGACCATGTGTCGGATCCATTTACCTTAATACAAGATTTCGCTTCAGAACAAGTCTATGTTAACCCCCGAACTAGCAACAGAGATTGAAGTAGTTGAGCGAGTTCACCACTTTACGTCTTATCAACCCACGTAGGTTGGTGTCTGCAGAAATCATGGTAAGGATTCAAAAAGCCTTTTTGATATTTGCCAACTTGCGTTACTTGTGGAGTAGGTGAGATATCCCTCTCCCATCCAAAGGATGTGTAGACTGCGCAGAAGCCTTTTATTAATTTATCGTTATGAAACATAGTCTATGAAAGTAGAAGACACAAGTAGGCTGAAGATTTCTAATCATCTGTCTTCAAAACATTTCTTGACTCTTGTGGAATGACCAAGTAAGAAATTTCGAGGTTAACTACAGGCTATTTGGCAAATGTGGTGAATTGGTTGACGAAGTAGAAAATCTCTACGGAATGTTTGTGACATCAGTCCATGATGTCATAAACTTTTCAGGTGATCCGAAAAGACAGTTTCAAACTGTTTAGCTGGGATATAGGTGACAACTGCGATAAGTGTTTTGAGACGCTAGAGCACTAGAGTAGATATATTCACTCCTTATCTTCCTCTAGATGTTGAATTCTAGTATCCCTTCATGAATAACTTTCTACTGTCTTTTGAAACCGTGTTACTAAGGTTTAGTTTTTCTTTATATCATTGCTAACACGTTATTTCGATCTCTTTGTTCATTTATCTCATCCTGCTAATATGGCACGGCAACCTGGGCAAATCCACATATGTCAGGCTCTACATTGATGATGCTTGTGGATCATTTTACGTTGACCTTTCGTTCTAAACAATTTCACCATTTGCAGTGTTGTCAAACTACTAGATTATTCAACGGACAAAGAAATCTGGATTTGATTCTTAAGAAAGCATTTAAAATGAACCGCTGAAGAACTACAAACAAGGACGAAATGGCTTTCGAATGCATATTATTCCCCAATCATACTCTTCTTGATATCACTGAGAGAAAAACTAACTTTAAACTGAGTAATGTTAACAATCCGTCTACTTCAATACATGTATATAGGCTTGATTTATAGACCGATTGTTATAGATAGTAGATAGTAGTAGATACTGAGCTCAAGTTTCAGTATGATATATCAATACTGGGATAGTGGAAGAGTCTCAATTAGGACGGAACGATCATCTGAGACTTCAGTCCCATCCTGTGCCCAAAATATGACACTTGGAACAAATTCATATGGTTCAGTAATGAAAAATTTCATTGAAATGCTTTAATTAACAGCTTGATAAGTCATAAGTAAGCAAAGACGATTAATGATGGAACTCAGTAACCAAGTAAAGATTCGTATAATCGTTGGGCAATTTTCATAGAACAGCTAGTGATATTGTCAAGCTTTTTAAACTGGAATGGATAAGATTACGTTCGAATCCAAGATCCAACAGTAGTAATTTACTTATTTTAATTATTAGGTCCCCTTTCCTCCTACCAATCAAATATCAGTTTTTCCTCGTTCATTTGGATATTATAGCGTAAAATTTCTACAAAACATTAGCAAAAATATTAGTTCTAAAAGTATATAAGAAAAAATACAACAGCAATTATAATTCCCTACAATTATCACTGAAATGGAGCGGTGGCTTGGAAATTGAAACACTTAACTTTCAACTATCAAGTTACAGATTTGAACACCGTTATGTATTACGTTAATTAAGACAATGTGGAGTGATGACTACATGAAAGTTCACTTGAACTATCACTCACTTAAGATCAGTATTCTATGAAACAAGAGACATGCGAACTACATGTCACTTCGTAACCCATATTACATAGGCGTTAAACTGGCAAACCGCACTTATTCTGTATAAATATGAGCATTACTCAATTCATTAATATAAGACTCATTAGATGACATTTGTTTAAACTACCTATTTAGTTGATAGAAGTTAATTACTGAAAAAAGTGAACTACAATTGCGAATATAATAACTATGTATATATTTACTAACTTGTAATGGTCCAATAAATGTTATGACACCCCAACCAAGTTGTTTTGAGTCAGGTTTTACCAGAACCAACTGCTGACCACAACTAACTATAAAACGTTTTTCATGACTATAATATATATTAAGAAAGAAATATACACAAAGTTAAATCACCTATTATTCATGAAAAAAGTCAAAAGAAAAGCACCAATCTCAATGTGATCATTCAAATAACAGTTTGTGCAGATTTTTGAATTTCATGTTAGTTTTAACAAGTTGATATCTGTTGGAGAGGTATTGATAACCTAAGAGTACCCAGCAATTCTTTTTTCCAAGTGAAAATACAAAAACATAACCACGAACGTGACAAAGTAGAAGAAAATTATCTCAGTTATATGTATACTACATATTAAAAATTCCCATCACTTTGCTTCGGCACTAAACATCACTTTTGTTTCGTTGAATGCCACAACCAATCAGGTATAGGTTATTAGATATTTCTTCAGTTAGAATAAATAACGGTGCGGCCTTCTTGACATGCGCATTCAGTCAGCATCAACGTAGAACTTCGTACGTACGTACATTGGTTCAAGTTTCCATACCACATTAGCACACAGATACAATTGTAGATTCAAATTCCGTAGTGGTAGAGGTAGTAAAAGTATAAGCAGTAACCGGAAGGATTAGGGTTTGAAGATGTTACTCAAGGAGCATAATACAGTGAACTAAATTTGGAAAGAGGAAAAAAGGGACATGAAGAATTCAGAAGATTAGAATTTGGGAGAATACAAAGTGGATGCACCTGCGCCATTGCAAACGATTTTGAACCACGTCATTCAAGGTCTCTAACCATCAACATGCGCATTAACCTTCAAGCTATTGAATTAAGTACACATCAATACTATCCGTTTAATTGAAATTAACACTTGGGATGCATTATTAATTGATTTAATACCAGTTATTTTACACTAAGACAGGAGGTTATAATGTGAAGAGACAAAAGAGTATTATATATATAGCATTAGAATATTTCAGATTGAAGAGTAAATTGTGCTGAAATTACAAACGCCAGTTATTAAATTGATGCATATGGATTTGATGAATACCTTTTTGTCAAGAGAGCTTTATTTGTTATATATAAATCGGGCTAATAAGCCTTAACTAACAGTTCAACAAAATAATCGATTTACAATCGAAATCATACAGCAAAATACGGAATCACACCGACTTTATGCATCATGAATTCATGAGACAAGAGACTTTACAAATCAGAAAATCTATAAAAATACAGGATATATAATTGACAATCGAGCTACCATCGATACTAATACAACTCTAACTCTCTTTGTGTTCATTTGCACCCGATTAATGTTCAAGTTCAATCGTAAGTTTATTTATCTAAACACATAAACATTGGTACAAGGAGGCGCCAAATATATATGCGCCACATAAATAATTCGATGTGTGATGGCTGAGATACTGTCCGGGTGCCCAAACCGAAACAGGTGGCTTTCCTAGGGGGCCACACCCGGAGCCTACGACCTGAAGGTCTGATTCATAAGGCAGTGAAGCAACGTTAATTGTAAGTATTAATTCATTTCCGTTATTCACAAACAAACCATGAAAGGAAACGTCTTCTTAAGGATATCTGAAATGTAAACTGCGCTATGAGTGGTTTTGAAAACCACAGAGCATGACAACAGTGCTTGATAGATAACTGCTAGGGGATTTGTTTTTAAAGTTTTAGATGAATTAGCTTCATACTTTAAAGGCCTAATCGTAACCAAAGGAAATACATAGGCCAGTGTGAGGTGTAATCGTTTTAGAGTCAACCTTTTGTAATCCCATTTTTCCATCGTGGGAAGGCATCATTGCTAAATATCCTCATTGTTTGATAGGAATACTTTATTGTCATCTCACCTCAAAGCAGTCGGTAGTACAGCTTTCCCCTCGCAACCTAAATCTGCTGCTTATATATACACATAATTCTAAAAGACGGAAGTCATATATACCATGTAAATTTCCCTTTATATAAACGCGCATGACTAAGAGAAATTAATATCCATTAATCACTTTTTAAAATATTCAATCTTTATTCGTTTCATTTATTAGTCCTCTATGAGAATAACAACAGTATATCACACTTTTCCCTATGAAAAACCAATGATACACGTTTAAGTTAATTTTATAAAACTATATTTTTAGTACAAACAAACTTACGCAAAAAGGATTAAGATAAAAGACAACACATACAACAAGGAAAATTCTAATGATAAAAGATTTTATTGAAAAAAGAAATAAACAGTGAATAGGAAGTACGGATACTTACATGCCAGAACATTCCACTGTACATCCAATCAGTGTTTCAGAGACTAAAGTAATAATAATAATATTGACCTTATTAAAAATGAAAATCCAAAATAATAAAGTTGGAGATGATTATCTGCCATGAATACTGATATTACTGAGAGAAGTATCAGATTGCTTTTGTATCTTCATAATTCCAAATGACTTAGTTAAATAATATTTATAAAGACTTATATTGTCAAAGATTTACCAAGTGTTTTAATGACCTGATTACTATTATGATGACAGTCACCAAAGTAGATAAGCATAATGACTGTAATCTACCGAAAACTAACAGAAGTTGAGAATGTCGAGTATCGGGTCACACGTTGAAAAATCTCTCAAAAATCTGTAACTGAAACCAAATTTGTCACATCGAGCTACACATTTAGTACTTTGAGAAATCCAATGATCAACATCTACAACACAACTATCAGTACTAAGTTCTAGTTTGCTAATGCAGCTACTCAGATACACGAAGTTCTTGGCTACTTCCATCTGTTCACTACCCAGGGTGAGTGCAGGATCAAGTTCTTGTCAATCTTGTAAAACCACTTTACACTTCGAAGGTGCAAAGCACATACCATACCTACGGATAGTGATTGCCAACTGATTAAGTGCGGATTGCATAGTTCGGGTACCATTGCACAGTAAGACATTATAATCCACATACTCAAGGTGAAAAAGTCCTTCCCAGCAACAGATCTACACCACCACTACCACTTACATCCATCAGAGCTGTTTCTAGAACGTCTTCGGACGCAAAGTTGAAGAAGAATGGTGAAATTGAGTAACCCTGTCTAACCCCACTGCTTGAATGGGACAGTGTGGAGAGGCGGTTGTGTGCCCTCACTTTGCCTGAGGCGTCAGTATATAGGGCTTGGAGAGCAGGACAGTCTGATCGATGTCATAGGGGCAGCAGATCAGTCGAACTGCTTCTCAAAAAACTCTTCATCGTCCAAGACGTCGATAGATGTTAGTGATTAGTATCCCGTCATCTTCACAGATTGTTTAACTCACACCAGACTACTTGCTGCCAGTGACTCAGATGAGTTGAAAGATATTCCGGCAGTTACGAGATGCAGCTGCTACTTCCAACTCATTAGCAAACTTCGACCACCAGACTTCTCGATACTTACGCAAGCTTCGCCCAATTTCATTGCGCAACATTTATGGTCAAACTCGTGGTCACTCAGAGCAGACCAACGGACTTCAATGAGTTGTAAGGAGCCTCAAGAAACCCGGTGTTTATAGGCTGGACGTTTAGAGAAGCCGCAAGCGACGTTACTCGCCATTTTCATGACGTCATGCAATTGCAACCAATGCTCATCTACACTTTTCAGTGGGATGGTAGCTAGCCCTGAACCTATCTTGGTTTGATATTTAGTTGCAACAGAAGCTACAACCCATTTACTGACATCGATCCGTTTAGGACGACGAATTTGTTGACCACTGAAAAGATAAAATTAGTGCAGACAAGGGCATGATCAGAGTCCAGATAGGTACTCCAAAAGGAGCAGCAGTCTTGTACACAACTAAGCCATTGGTAGCTGATAGCGATGTGATTAATCTGAGTCCAGGCTTGGGATACAGAGGGAGGACGCCAGGTAGCACATCGGCAGTGGCTGTGCCGGTAGTTAGTGATAGCCAGAAACAGGTTGTGGTCTGTGCACAGCCGCAGTAGACGGTCCCCTTTATCTGTCCTGCAACCAACAAGTCCCCATCGGCCACCTAAGCGACTCTCTTCTGTACCTAGACGCCCGACATGAGCATTCAAGTCCTAGGCTAGTACTACGATATCTGTCGAACGCACTTTCTTTAGAAGAACTGTTAACTAGTGGTAGAACTCATCCTTTATAGCATCCGGGCTGCAATCTGTCGGGGCATAGGCGGAGATAACGAAAAGAAATCGTTTCTCACGCCGATTTCTTCTCACTTTGATGGAAATTCCTAATCTAACAGCACGTAACCGACTATTAACGGGGATCCAATCGATTAGTGCCGCCTCAGCTCTAGCTCTTTGTGTGACACCAACGCCAGTCAAACAAGATGAAGATGCTACCGAGTCCCTGGATAAAAGCATGTGAAACAAGCTTTTCGAAACGAAAGATGAAGAGCGAATCCATAGTATTTCACTAGAGTCTTGAATAAAGATCTCGGATAGACAACAGATATCGATATTGAGACTTTCTAAAGACATAGCCAACCCTATCTGTTGTCCGATCTGTATTAGTGTGCGAACGTTGAAGGAAGCCAGTTTGAATGGTATATGTGGTTTCAGTGTTCGTATTCGGTGGTAGCGTTTAAATTCCAACCAGTCATTGACTCGAGATCGTTTAGATAGGATAGGGTTTCCACCATAGGCGAGTTGCTGTATAAGTTGAAAAATAAGAATAAACAAAGTGAGAATGGAAGAGAGTAGATAAGTGACGTAGTATATAAAAGATGAAGATGAATGTTATCAAATGAATGTGAATGTGATTCGTCTGAATTTTAATTGAAGCAAGAATAATAGTTCCAGTAGTAATTGTCATGTGATTTGATTTTTTGTGGGCTGTGATACTGCCCGGGTGCCCAGACTGAAGCAGGGGATAACTACTACTTTACTCATAACATTTTAACTACATAGGCCACACAACTCACTAGAACTAAACTATACATGTACATACATACACTTACATTGTTTTTACTGTGTACATTACAAGACTAGGCTAGAAAATGTAAAAAAAAAATCTACAATAATTAATATAAGAACTGAACTCACATAGGTCTAGTCTATCTCCTGTCTTTAATGAAGGTGTAGTTGTTTTAGGATCTGGTATACTACAAAATCCTCCTAATCCAGGTATACCAACAAGATTGGAAAACAAATCATTTGGAAATATCTCCGAATTCTGAACTGATAAGCAAATGTTATCAGCATCGACAATAACATCTTGACATGAGGTAACATTCAGTTTTAAAGTCAGCATTCTTTCTAACCAAATATGTACAATAAGATATATCCCGATTGCACGTTGAATATGCTCACGTTCATTATTCGGTAATCGATAGATTAAATCCATATCATTACATATCAACATTTGCATCTTATTACTAGTAGTAGTAGCATTAGTAGTATGTTTTGTTATCTCGTCTGATTGCTCCAAGAATGATGAATATGGTTGTATTAACAGACGAGCATCTGTAGCTAATGTAGATAGCAGAGGAAGTGCTGATTGAATACGACGTAATTCATTTTCAAACAGGTCTAGAAATATTGCACTAATCTATTTTTGATAGACGGGACCAAATATCAGAAAACAAAAAAGTCAAAAAGTTATTTCTCCCAATGTATAATATCCACAGAATTAACTAATAATAAGAATTATATGATAGACGTTCACAATAAAAAATTTCGTAGCAAATTTCTTTCATTATGCAATCATATTAATTGATAAATTAACTGAATGGGAAAAATGAGGTAAAGACTATGGAAAAGCAGTGATCTTCAGCAATTGTTTGACCTCGGACATCTAATCGGAACATTGATATTTACGCAAGTAAGCTTCCCTAAAAAGTTAAAAACATACTACGCTGCATACAGAGAGTCTGAATGATTGTTTGTAAGCTTACCTTTAAGCTATTTATGTTTCAAATTAAACAGTTTTCATATGAGTACTTCTTTACATAGCTTAATGATGTCGATCGTTCAGAGTACTTATATACTCTAGTAAATAATTCCATTATCAGCTACACATCCCACTCATAAAATTCACTTGGATAAAATACCTTAATCTCAGTACCACATTATGACTATAACAAATCCGATGGTATAGCTGAATTTGCTGACAATGTATCAGGTGATTCAATATACAGTAAAGTCTGATGATGATCTAATTGATCCACAATGTGAATCTTCTTTATTTCAAAAATCACATTGGGATTCTACTACGTTCAAGGGACTCAATGAGTTCCCGAATTCCAATCCAGGTTTCACTGAAGCGAAAGCAACCCGAGAATTTACTAATGATTGCATATAACAGACTAGCAGATAACCTAAAAATCACTAGAAATCTTTACGCCGTAAAATCCACTCTAATGTAAAAACACTTAGAAGACATGCGTTTAGTTAAACAAACCTTTTAAAAATTAATATCAGTGACTTAGAAAGGAATCTCCTAGAGAGGAATTTTGCTGTTAAAAACAAACCATTGGAAATTAAATCACTTTTTATGGATTATGTGGATATGGTATCCAAAAACAGACCTGAGAAAACAATGGAAAAATTAGTGGAAACTCTGGAATCAAAAACCGAGAAGGTAATTTTCTTTAGACTCAAAACAGTGTTGAGTTAGATTTGGTTCAATTCGAATCTTTTTGCTTCTGACTAGACGAGGTTGTCAGGCTTAATACCACGTTAGTCGATAGTTGCCAACACCACGTATGCTAAACAAGCAACATGAGGGGGCTTGAACATAGCTAAGCAAAGATTATACCTTGGCCATAACTAAGTCACATAAGGGAGTTGCAGTTTTAATGGACAAAACGGAAAACATTGATAAAGTGGATTTGATGCTTAATGATCTTACTAAACTTCAAGAACTTATTGATATTAAAAACATCAATGAAAAAGTAGGCTAACAGATGGCTAGTTCTCTCAGAAAACTTAAAACGAATGAGGATAATTTCATCTGAGATGTCTGATTCATTTAACCAACTGGATTAAACACACCACGACTCAACGGTCTACCTAAATTTTAAAAGTCGGGTCTTTTTCTTTGTTCAGTTCTAAATACATACAATTCTCTATATCGAAAATCGCTAACTGGTTAATTTGAATCCTAGAGCCTCTGAACAAATCAGTCGTAAAAACAAGTGTTAATGACGTTCTTGACTTCACTTCCGACGTGGAAGGAACAAATGTTAGTAAAGAAAAACATTATTTCTCTAAACGTCGTATCTTTATTTACTAATGTACTACAACTAATCGAGAAAATCGAGTTCATATGTAAACAAATATCAGAAAGACAAAACAGTGGCTCCCCTGAGGATGGTCTAAAAGAACTATTCCTAATATGTTTGATGAACGGTCATTTTGTCGGTAACAATATTTATAATGGGAAAAATCGATGGGATAGCTATGAGTTCACCACTGGACCCGATTTCAGTCTATCGCTTGTTAACAAACTTAGAAAACAAACCCCTCAATGAGGTTTTCGACAAGCTATATCTATACTGCCGATACATTGACAATACATTTATCATCGTAGATCACAATATTCATAAAGAACTTTTAAACTAGTTTAACAGTGTACATCTGGCATTGGTGGGGACGAGTGTGACAACAAATCAGATTTCCTTGACATCTCATTAAGTAGATAAAGTGAGGGCCCGTTAAGCAGAAACGTGTAAAGAAAAATTTCCCGTGTCAATACACACCCATACTCTACAAAAGAAATCTAGTTAGATGTCTCACAAGCAGAGCAAAAAAGATCTTAGATGATACCATAAAAGTATTGGGAAATATTAATAAGCTGACGGTCATAGAGTACCAGAAATTTTTTAAAGAAGTGCATATATAGAAAGAGAAACAAGTTGGAGATATGAACCGATAGTAAGAAACCCCCTTTCCTCAAGTTAAAATTCAACAGGATTATGCCTTGCGATATACTGCATAAAGCATTAGCGATGATAGTTAGATGAACATTTTACGCAACCAATTAAACCAGTGATATCTACTCAAACAAAGTATAAATTCTCCTCTCCGATATCCATCTATAAATTCAGCTGCTCCCGAAGAGATGGCTATATTGGACAGACTACTAGGCAACTTAACTAACGAACGAGTGAACATCTCCCATCTTGACTTTGAAAGGACCAGATGAAGATAATACGCAATTCTACCATGCCACAACTGGCTGACAGTGGTCATAAGGTAGATAAAACTAAATCAAATCAGATGATCTATCATATACCATCGCCGTTTCCCAATGGGATTTGATCCCGTCTTCCATATATACCACAGGCAATAGGGATCTGAACCTATGACCCTAGTTTATGTGTTCAGAATAAATTAGTGATACATCTGTCCCATCTTTAGCTGGGTATGAGATGACCTAATAAACGACTTTTTTCACATCCTGTATATGTTTGTCATTTTTCACCTCCTTTCACTTATATGCTTCACTATCCAATTACTTATACAATTCTTATTACGTAATTTTAGTAGTGTTTTGTGATTATTTTGAAGTTTATTTATCCAAGTTTGATTTCATGTGTTGAACTAATGAATAGAACCTTTGTTATTTTATTATTCTTAACAGTACTAGTACACCTGTCCTATCATCACCAATTTGTAACTTTTACCTATAATATGTAGTTATGCAATCTATTTCATTGTGACCATTGACTAATGCTGAGAATTCTAAATTGTACTAAATATATAGTATTCAATAAATTTATTATTATCATTACAAATTACCTTGCTTGGTCTAACATTTTCATATAACCAAAACAGATTATGAATTGTTAGGTCTGTCTATCAGAAAGATTGGTATTTTCAAACCCAGTCAACCTGAGATATGAATCAATTTTGAATGTTTAGTTATGGAATGCATATATATATATATATATATATATATATATATATATATATATATATATATATATATATATATATATATATATATATATAATCAATTAAGAAATGATAGCTTCAGATAATCGAACTTGACAAACGTCAACAGACAAAGTGATACCTATTTAAAATATGATTTAGGTGTTTAATCACGAAATGACATTAGTGAGATGTCTGAGATTCAGTGTGGCACAGAAAAACTGTTTTATTCTAGTCTACGACTTCATAACTCCGCCTGGAGTCCCTCCGGGAGCTGCTGCCGGTCCCAAGCCCGGATAAAGGAGGAGGGTTGGGCATGGAGTTAGCGACCCCATCCCGTAGAAAACTAACTCGCCAAAAAAACGCTAACCAGAAAAAATTATTCAAACCTTCTAAACTCTGTCTTGGGAGTCAGAAGGTCTTCATTTAGAAGAACTATGACGCCTCATGATGAAAGCCGAATTCCTTCGGAAGTTACGAGGCCGATGCCCCTTCTGACAAACAGAGCAACCATTTATTCAGGTACATGGAATACTCGTACAATGTGAGAGACTGGGAGAGTCTTCCAAATTACAACCTAGAGGTGCTTGGAATCAGTGAAACACATTGGACGCAAGTTGGACAACAACAACTAGCTTCAGGGGAGCTTCTGTTATACCCCGACCATGAAGAAGAAAATGCCCCATATACACAACGAGTTGCATTGATACTGTCCAAACAAGCACAAAATGCACTTATAGGATAAGAATCTCATGGACCAAGGATCATCAAAGCCTCCTTCAAAACAAAGAAAGAGGGCATTTCAATGAACGTCATCCAATGCCATGCGCCTACCAACGACTACAAAGAAGACGCTATATATCAATTCTACGATAAGCTGCAGTCAGTCGTCGAGAAGTGCCCAACAAAGGACCTGACCATTCTGATGGGAGATTTCAATGCCAAGGTTGGAATGGACAACACTGGATATGAAGACATCATGGGACGACACGGACTGGGAGAAAGAAACGAAAATGGTGAGAAATTTGCAAACCTATGTGCCTTCAATAAACTGGTCATAGGCGGCACTATATTCCCACATAAGCTCATTCACAAAATCACATGGACTTCACAGGATCACACCACGCAAAACCAAATCGACCATATTTGCATCAACAAAACGTTCAGGAGGACTATAGAGGACGTGAGAACCAAGAGAGGAGTTGATATAGCATCAGATCATCACTTGGTGATCGCCAAGATGAAATTGAAACTCAAGAAGCAATGGACAATGGGGCGGACAATATCACAAAAGTTCAATACGGCCTTTCTTCACGATACTAACAAACTCAACAAATTCAAGATAGTCCTCAGCAACAAGTTTCAGGCCTTTCATGATCTACTCAATGGAGAAGGAACTAATGTGGAGAGCAACTAGAAGGGGATCAAAGAGGCAATCACTTCAACATGTCATGAGGTCCTGGGTCACAAGAAGCACCACCACAAGGAATCGGTCACTGTTGATACATTGGATAGGCCAAACCAAAACGTGGCATCAGTGCTCGAAGTCAATAACTTCTAGTCTGAGCCATGTTGGTTGATGCAGACTACTTGGTTGGGGTCCGCGTGACTATCGTAACCAATGGTTGGAGACTCTTGGTGACATGGTTCAGAATCGATCACAATGGCGTCGATGTACACACTCCCTGTCTTCCCTTAAACTAAGAGATTAAAATCGCTTCATATCTTTCTTTCTACGAACCAATTCTTTCTTCTAGTACTATATCTCTATATGCAATCTTTCTCTTACATATTACTACCTTTGACCTAACCACTGCTATGAATCCGGTGTTCATCTTGTTGTGCTGATGCGGTATGGCAACCTGGACCGATGTACATATGTGCTTGGTCCTACGTTGTAGCTGACTGACTGACTGACTGACTGACTGACTGACTGACTGACTGACTGACTGACTGACTGACTGACTGACTGACTGACTGACTGACACACTGGATAAGATTCAAGAAAGTAGGAACAAGAAGGCAGCAATCAATACCAGTCGAACAAGAGCAGAAAAAAGCCAAGGCACAAGCTGAATACACAGAAGTAAACAAACAAGTGAAGAGGAGCATCAGAACCGACAAACGTAAATATGTGGAAGATTTAGCAACGACGGCGGAAAAGGCTGCAAGAGAAGGAAACATGAGAGAACTGTATGACACGACAAAGAAACTCTCTGGAAATCGCCGCAAACCAGAACGACTAGTGAAAAGCAAGGAAGTTGAGGTAATCACCAATATTGAAGCAGCACCCACGGACCTCCCAATCAATGTTGACCCACCAACAATTGAAGAAATCAGCATGGCCATCAGGCAAATCAAGAGCGGCAAAGCAGCAGGACCAGACAACATTCCAGCAGAGGCAGTGAAAGTAGACGTAGCAGTAACTGCAACGATACTCCACATTCTCTTCAATAAGATTTGGGATGAGGAACAAGTACCAACAGACTGGAAAGAACGACTTCTGGTCAAAATACCAAAGAAAGGCGATCTCAGCAACTGTGACAACCACAGTGGCATCACTCTTCTCTCAATACCGGGAAAATTCTTCAACAGGGTATTGTTAAACACAATGAAGGACTGTGTAGACGCCCAACTTCGTGAACAACAGGCAGGATTCCGTAAGGATCGAACGTATACAGACCAAATCGCAACATTACAGATCATTGTGGAACAATCAATTGAATGGAATTCATCACTCTACATCAACTTCATTGACTATGAGAAAGCATTTGATAGCGTGGACAGAACAACACTATGGAAGCTTCTTCGACACCACAGAGTGCCTCAGAAGATAGTCAATATCATGCGGAATTCCTATGATGGATTCAACTGCAAAATCGTGCATGGAGGACAATTGACAAAGTCGTTCGAAGTGAAGACCGGTGTTCGGCAAGGTTGCTTACTCTCACCCTTTCTCTTTCTCCTGGTGATCGACTGGATCATGAAAACGTCAACATCTGAAGGGAAACACGGGATACAGTGGATAGATAGGATGTAGTTGGACGATCTAGACTTCGCAGATGATCTGGCCCTTCTATCCCAAACGCAACAACAAATGCAGGAGAAAACGTTCAGTGTAGCAGCAGCCTCAGCAGCAGTAGGTCTCAATATACACAAAGGGAAAAGCAAGGTTCTCCGATACAACACAGCATGCACCAACCCAATCACAATTGACGGAGAAGATTTGGAAGATGTAAAAACCTTTACACTTTTAGGGAGCATCATTAATGAACATGGTGGATCTGATGCAGATGTGAAGGCGCGGATCGGCAGATCAAGAGCAGTATATTTACAACTGAAGAACATCTGGAACTCAAAGCAACTGTCAACCAACACCAAGGTCAGGATTTTCAATACAAATGTCAAGACAATTCTACTGTATGGGGCAGAAACCTGGAGAACTACGAAAGCCATCATCCAGAAGATAAAGGTGTTTACTAACAGTTGTCTACGCAAAATACTTCGGATCCGTTGGCCAGAGACTATTAGCAACAACCTACTGTGGGAGAGAACAAAGCAGATCCCAGCGGAGGAAGAAATCAGGAAGAAGCGCTGGAAGTGGATAGGACACACATTGAGGAAAGCACCCAACTGCGTCACAAGACAAGCCCTCACATGGAATCCTCAAAGCCAAAGGAGAAGAGGAAGACCAAAGAACACATTACGCCGGGAAATGGAAATAGGCGTGAGAGAAATGAACAAGCATTGGATGGAACTAGAAAAGGCCCAGGAAAGAGTGGGTTGGAGAATGCTGGTCGGCGGCCTATGTTCCATTAGGAGTAACAGGCGAAAGTAAGTAAGTAAGTACGACTTTACAATAATGACTGATCTCTCACACCTCTACATGGAAAATGAGCGTATTAATGTAAATGAGAGAATAACGTTCAATTTTTCCGTTGAAAATTCACACATTTGTATGGAAGAAAAAAGTTAGTATGAAAATGTTAAATATCTAATGTGATTAATAATTGATCATAAGGGAGGATATTAAAGTGAATTATCTGCTTTCTCATTCCATGTTTAATACAAATAAAATATATTCATTAGGAATATGGTATCAAAATTACAACCAGGAGATTTTCAATGAAATTAAACTATCCAGTGGGAATGTTAGCTGTTTATATACTATGTAGTTTGCTTCAACAGAACAATCATTTAGATTCTTGAGAATACCACATTAATATTAAGACATGATTTAGTCTGTATATCATGTAAGTTTTACGTAAATTTTACTTGAAATCAGTGAACTACATAACGTTTTCTAGGTTGCAAAATCTGGATATCTAGATAATTAAAGAAATTGAATAGAAACCAAATCCTACCACGTGTCTACAAAGTTTTTTGGCATCTAATAAACAGTGGTCGGCGTCTCTACATTAGTGGTACAATATTCGTCTACTGATAAATATTAAAATGATGTCCTCAGATATCAGTTCAAAATATCAATCCAGATTTAACTGGCAAAAATTCATGTTTATTTTTTATAACTTATACAGTTAAATTAGCTATCCGTTGCTGTGATAACTGACGATATATTTGGAGCGACAACATCTTGTAAATTCCTAGATCGAAATCACGGAACAATACTGAATGCTCCCACCTCCCAAAAAAGACACTAGCCTTATCAGAAAAGACACGGTCAGGTTGGGGCAATAGATATTACTCTTGAAGCTTGTGACCAAATATACTAGTTTGTAGACGTTTTGTCCACCGGTTTCACCACAGTCCTTTTAATGTCACTGTCTTGAGACCGGCACTACAGAACTCCTGGTCTAGAGTACATACCATTTTTGCAATTAGTTAGTTCATTCTCGAAATGATCATATTCAGTATATCTTATTCTGTTGATAAATGAAATAATCTTTCAAACTCGAAATAACATACTCTTGCAAATTTGCCAACAGTAGTAGATTCTCGTTTATCAGACAATTCATAGTCCGATTGTCAAGATTACTTTAAACGATACGCTGAACATAGCAGAGTATGTGATGAACAGTAGAATTTTATCCAAAGTATTCGTAAATGCCACTTTATTTTCTCAAACCTTTGAATAACCAATATTTAAAATATCTAACAATCAAACACACCGGTCAATGAAGCTACAATACAGTATGACTGATGAAGCCTCCCAGATTTCTATGAATTATACAAAATATGCAAAACAAAGAATGATACGCTAACTTCAAAACTACCATTTTAAAAAATCAATTATATGCCATCTTTCGAAATACAACAGAACTCTATGAAGCAAGGTATAGATTTAGAAAACATATATTGAGAAACGAATATTTTTGGGGTCAACCCACTAGGACCAATAATGACTTCGTTCAAATACTCTTGTCTTTCGAATGAACAAAATGACCACATACGAGTAAATGTATAAGTTATCAATATTACCATTTTAACTTGGTAAATGATACATTTAAACGATTAGATAATCAACAATGAATTGAAAGTAATCAAATGTTTAGGCTGATAAGTTAGTCATTTGGTTTTAATGTTGAATAAAAATTCAGTGGTAAAATTTGACGATCGTACTATAGAAACAAATGTGGAGATTTACAAAACAACGTTAGCTACTACTTAGGATGATAATAAGATTGATTTCTAGAAAAAACGTCTGATCTACGTTGTTCATACTGTAAAATACATTAAGTGATAATTAGCATTGAAATATAAAATGAATGTTTCTTGTATCTAACTGACTGAATACACCTGAACTGAACTGAAAACTGAACACTCTCACAAGAAACAATATAGTTCACTAAGCAATATGAAGCTGAAAAAAATTGAATCCGATCTTAGGGTTATCATAGTACCAGTTTTACGTAGTCAGTTTCAAGGAATTGATTTTATGTGCAATGATGGCTCGGTGATACTATCTATGACCTTACAAACTGAAGTAGAGATGAAGCGAAATTAAAACATGCAAACCGGTAATTGAAAGTCAAGTACTTCAACTACTAGGTCACTATTTCACTATAGTGAATGTGAATACGTCCTATCAAATTTTATTTTAACTTCATTGTTAGTAAAAAAAAATATTCATAGCAAACATATACTGCGAAATATTAATTTATATACATATAGCAAGAATACCTCAAAATAGCTCCTTAATACAAGCATCGCTTCTTCGCGAGCATTAATAATTTCAGCGAAATGTTGATCGGATAATTGACAACCACAATTGACGCTATATACTAAGTCTGTTAGCAAACGAATAGCCATTCGTACAGTGATTAAACGAATACGACTTTCTGTAATTTTAAAAATAAAATACAGAAGAATAGAATGCATAGGAAAGGTTAACTTAAAGAAAATCTAACCGTATTAATATCAAGATTTTAACATGCTGTTCTATATAAACACAATTGATCGTCTATTTCAAAAAAACAATCCGAAATAATACTGGTCTGAGGATATTACTTATCTGGTTAGGTGAGATGGAAGCATGTACAAATTACACAAGTGAACAATAGGATGACATCGACGTTTGACTGTATACCTTCAATTAGCTTCATTCATTAAAATTAACAAGTTTATTATGAAGTGTCAAACACTTACTCCTGTTACACCTAGTGGAGCATAGGCCGCAAGTGTTAAATATAATCCACCGAAATGTATATTTTAAGGCATTATTTGTTGTTACAGTGTTATAAAACATTTTCGGGAGAGAACCAGTTAGTATTACAACATAAATACATGTTAATATTGGTTTGAACATTTGAACATCGTGCATCCATTTAAGTACATAAAAAATAATACGAGGAAAGTACGCGTTTAAACATTACATCCCAATCCATTCTAATTGATTTGTGTAACTGGGGAGCGTATGGTGAGACTTTTGTTGATAAAACTGATAAAAATAACCCCAAGAGTATAATTTGATTGCCTAAACATTGTCTCCTCCCTCGGCTAATTTATTTAATTTAACTTAAACAGTCACTAGTACATTCAAGTCTTCACAGCATAATTTAAAGCCTTATAGACCAATAGTGCATGGAATATCATTGAATTAATGGTATTTGATGTGTGGGCGAGAATGATAATGATTGGTTGTCTGCTTAGTCAGACAGTAGATAGTCTAACAGGTGTCAGATGAGTTATGTATTCCCCTATCCTTATAATTATTATGATTGATTGTTCATTATTGTTGGATTGTGTCGGATTTTGGTGTGGAAATATACTTACGTTCTAGTCAGGCTAGTCACGTGTTCTTGATTTGAGTTGTGTTGAAGTTCTGTAGAATAGACACTGGAAGGGAATCTAGTGTAGATATTCGTCTAAGGTAAATTAACGTCCCATACGTGTAAACGTGGAAATCCAACCGTTATAGGTATTCTACGATATTTTTAGGTTTAGACTAAATCGACAATGTACAGATATACTTCTTCGACTATTTAATCAAGAACCAGACATAAACAACAAAAACATAATAATAGTAGGAAGAATTTATTTACAATGTCAAAGTAGTCCATTAATATATGATCCTTCTGACTGTCTATCATAACTTACACTGTCTGGATACATTATACTCAAACATCACTTTTTACTGAACAAGAATAAAAAAATGATGATTTACAGTTTCATTTGCTAAACACAAAGTATATTGAGAGTAGTTTAAACAGTTTTATCACAATCGATCCCTTCTACGTAAGTAATAAACTCCCGTTTGTAGTTGAACATTCAATACTCTCACCTACATATACAAATCATACCATACATTTAGCACGGAAAAACATTCTAAAAAACCGAATTAACAAAATACATACGTATACTTTCAATTAGCATTCCTAACTATATCAATTATGAAGTAGACCAATGAAATTTGAAAATCCTTACATCATATATATGTATATGATCAATCACACAGAAACAATAGGTCCAGAAGACATCTAATTAACTAACTCACAAACATTGAAACAACTAAGAGTATTTTGCACAACCAATACATACACAAACATTTTATTTAGTGATGAATCATTACTACCCTATAAGAAGTGCAGAGGATGTGAAACGGAAAACGGTAAATACGAAACAGTAAAATAATAAGGTCAAAAAGTACAAATAAGCTGCTGATATCCGAGAAGAAAGTATAGAAAATAGTGAAATGGAATAGATGACTTCTTAAAAATTCCAGTAGCACAACTTCTATCTAGACTAACAAAGATTAAATAAGTGAGGAGTAAAAGGAACGGTAGACCAATACGCACTATTCATTGTAATTGATGTTGCAATTTTAAACAGTAATTTATATGCCAAATTCATGAATATTTATGAAATTTTTAAACGATATTTTGTGTAAGAAGGAGAGAACTACTGTTACTACCCGCATGTTAGTCCAATTAAGAGTATGTATGAAGCGGTTTGCATCTGTAATCCAATGACTGAGACTAGATCGATTTAACCACTGAGATATCGACGAAAACATGAAGCAATAAAGTAAAAAAATGAGCACGGGAGAATGAATGTTGATAATATTGGAAATTCTAAAGATGAAATGTATATCCAACCAGACAGTCTATATAGCAGATTATTAGTTATCCAAATGATGGGATTAAAACCCAATCGTATTATATCTCGATATTATATCACACACCGAATGGTTTGAACGTAAATTCACAGAAAACTGTAAATAAAATTATTCACACAACCACATCCGACACAAAATCGACGTTTCATATCATCATATGCATGTGTTGGGAACACTTCGTGTCATACACCAGTCGATGAAGACAAGACATTTTTTACATTGATTGAGACGGCTTAGATACTTATGTAATAATTCATCCTGGTATCCGACTATGAGATGACGAGACTACATAGTACAAAATAAGGATGATCACTTCATGACCTAACTCAAAATATAAACCTTGCACAAGTTAAACCTTTTATTGACTCATTTTCATTGTGTACTTTTCAACATCGCATTCATTTAGTTGGCCTCCTGCTATTATTATGTCGTTAAATGTGACAACCTGAACTGCAACACTTGCGTGAAGGTCCTGATATATCTTTTTGCCTATCACTGTTATTTCTAAGAATTTCAGCAGACATTGTTGTCATTTACTAGTTCAAATGCTGTCATTCTATTCAGACAATCAACCGTAACTATGCTTAAAATTTATACAATGCATAAATGATGCAGTTTACTCATTACTAAAATGAATAATCATTTCAAACATGATCATGAGTGAACACGAAGAAAATATACTACCATGATTACAATGCAAATAAAACACATTTTTACACAATGAAATATCAAAACAGTAACTATTTACTCACCAGCTTTACATGCGTCACCAATTAATTCAATAAGCTTTGTGACAAGTGTATAATTATACGATGGTTCATTTTTCTAATATACAGGACAGAAAGACAAAAGGGTAGAAAATATAGACAACCAAAAATATTATACTAAAATAAGAAGCAATTTCTAAATAAAATGAATTATAGCTGGTATTTCTTATCAATCAACGTATGTTTGCAGTGTAAGTTCATTCAGTAATGAATAAGATGAAGAATAATTTCACGTTTGGTGGAACAACTGAATAGTTAGTTCTGGGCTTATCAGGTAGAGATGGAAAATCAGTTAATGAGGTTACGAACAATTATCGACTGAGATGCACAGATCCAGCCATTATCCACTTGAATGTGCTAAACTGGTTAGCGTAAGAAGTTGAAAAAAAACGTTGAACGTGACTAGATGAAGCTATTGGTTGTTGAACTGAGCTGTGTCAGGCGGTAGACTTCCTGTTTAGAGTACAATAGATAAAGGTAATGGTTTGTTGAAGATCTTAAATTACATAGTTTGAAACCAGTTGAATCAGAGCAAAACTATTCATTATGCACCTCCCTTTATATATCAAGTCTTAGCATTATTATATACTTTCCATTCCCTGATTTTGAGTTCTTTTCAAACTATATATTTGACTCTCCATATTATTTTTGATTACATGTTTCCTTTTTTGTTAACTTCATGTCTAGACACACTGTTATAAGGTGTAACAACTTGGACCGATTCACATCTATGCCAAAAGTTACTAATGGACTAAGTTGCAGTCCTAAAAACACGTGTTCTAAATAACACCCAACTGAATAACTGTTGATTTACAAGAGACACAACTGATTCGGTGTATTCTAAATCCATAAATAGCGGAAATTCACTTCAATCGTTGCTTTTCAATAGTCCATGATGATATGGGAAGATTACATGGATGATTACATGTCTGTTTGAGGAAATGTAGAAGTTTTGAGAAATGTATACATTTGTTCCCAGCTTTCAACTAAGGATGATAATGGTGATATATGTGACATTCACTAAATACAATATACTAGAGGCATCGATGACCACACAACATTGTGGTCAGACTTTGTGATCGACAAACTCTAATCACCAATAAAACAACAGGAACAAATTGTTTATATAGGATTCCTTAATTCTACAATTATAAAAATCTACATATTTCATATATGTGGAAAAAGTTGTACCTTTGGAAGTCACAAGTTGAATGCATCGATTTTGATGTTATTATACTCGTTGCTAACATTGTTTATTTTAGATATTTTACGGGGTATAAAGAAAATTCCAATATATTCTAGGTAATATCGAATTCCATGTGAAAGAGATTTATAAAATAATCAAAATTAGTAACGTATACTTTTACAAACTCTTACTATATCGGGACCGTTTAATTGGGCAAGTTTCAAAGTAGCCAAATCAACACCTAGGAGAGTTTTTAAATACGAAGAAATACATTGCGGAGTGAAAAAGTGTGCAAAAGAGGAACAAGTATACATACACATAAACTCTAATATTCCATACATATGCAATAAAAAGATAACCTTGTATACATGTATAGTGATCCAAGTTGTAAGAGCACGCAGCTCAACAAAATGAAATTACCAGGATGAAAACAGTATTAATACTAGTAGTAGTAGAAAAAAATTATGTATGACGAGTATGATTCGAAACATATTTTGCGGAATAAAAGGTATAAAATACTTTAGAGATTCAGTTAGTCAAGATCTAATGGAACACGAAAAATAAATGTAGAGAGAGATTCCGAATCATATCATCTGATGTTTCATACGAATGGCTACGACAATCGCACAGACTCCAACATGACAGTCGCGTGCACCTACCAACATAACTCCTATTAATAGTTAGTGAACATCTGGACCGACGCCATGTTTTAATTTAACCTTGCTAGCTAACCTTTACAAAATATAATCAACACGGCTAAAAATATCGTCACGCTTGAAAATAAAGTAACCAAAAAGATCTAACACTAAAGGAACTTTGCTCTCATAGATCCCCAGACATGCGGCTTTTTACGTAGAAACATGCGTATGCATTGCACTATCTCTAAATTAAACCGAAGAGCCAACTATCCCGATGATTTGTTTGCTTTGACTACATTATGATCACCATTTTCCCCTAACTTCGCTATCATTGAACTTCGTGGTAAGATTACATAAACAATATTTCTTTAATAAACAACCACTCAACAATCAATCCCATATGTCATGGGAAGGGGAAGTAACTTAGTCACTGACTTTAATATGATAGCTGACACGTCAATGACTACGTTGCTGAAAGATCTACTAATACAATATTATATTTAAAAAGTAAGTTACGAAAATAGTAACTGTGACAAAAACGACCAGTTGCCACCCAATATAAACGCATTCATTCTCTTATTTTTACCAAAAATATACAATAGATTATTTTATTTTAATTGTAAACGAAGTAAAATTGTATCTATGACTTAAATATAAGTTATGTACAAAGCTGCTTATAAAATGACTTGGATAGATTTAATGAGACTTAGTATGCCAATTAACAATAAGGAACAAAAAACCCATTGAACAGACACGAAAACAAAAGACTATTCTTCAATTGTCAAGCTAAAGTATCTCAAAAATAATTTAATAAACACTTTTAAAGGAAATAAAACTTTCGAAGAAAACGTGTTTTTTCTATGATAATTTAAAATAATGTTTAAACATTGTTACGTAACTTAAGCTATGTATATGCAATACAAAGACGTATTCAAATGCAAACAGAAACACAATACATTAACTGTATACTAAGTCAAAAACGTAATCATTTTTTTAATTGATTGAAATATACAGTCACATTTCCGATTTAATATATGCATATAAAGTAAAATTTAGGTAAAATGCTGTAATGAACAGGAAGCAAAGATACAAACCCATTGATGTAAATTAATTTTAAAAAATCAGGTTCATGTACAAAACATCCTGCGCAATGACTGATGATCCAATCTAGCTACCTCAATTAAAACAAGTAGAGAAGAGCTCGAACTTACGACTCGGTAAAAAAAAATCAAATCTTAATGAATACAATAATAAAATATTACTAACAACCGAATAAATAACAAATCATATGATGAAAGTAAGTTACATAATGTGGTGATGAACATAGGTTCAAGAAAAAGATATGAATTCATCAAATGAAAATCATTGTAAGATAATCGAGAAACTTAGAATCTAAGGGAAGATAAAGAGTGAATACACTTGAACCATTGAGGATGATCCTGAGTTATCAGTCAAAGTCTCTAACCACTGGTCACCACTATAACTTCACTGACCTCAATCAGGTAGTCTGAAACTGTCTACAGAGCTCAGTTCAAAAGTCGGTGTCTTCATGGGCTAATTCTATGTACTTTTCATTTGTACATTAAATTAACCAACTGTGATCTGATAATGTCTTTCATCAAACGATTACCAACTCAAAACCTAACCAGTTGATCAATAATCCCATCAATAACCAAATGTATGGATTCCAATTTAAATGGTTGAATAAAATTCGGATCATTTTACTTCTTATTTAAAAATATAAAGAGGAAAGAAGAGAGAAATAATCCTATATAGAAATGTATCTTTGTTTAATTTTGTCACAAGCTACAATAGTAGGTCATAAAAAATATATTAAAATGAACAAGAATAAAAGAAAAATATGAAATCCATAAGCATAAAGAGGTAATGAGTAATAAAGTAACACCAACATAGAGAAGCCAAGAACAAATATTTCTAGGTTGATTAATGAATACAGTGGTCTTGAGTGCTGTTAGAGGTATGAAGGCGGTTATCACTTCCCGGATGCCCACACCGTGGAAGCGTTGTTCTGGAGGTACCTGAAAAGGGAATTGGATTATAGATGGTCTTAGTGACCTGGGAGCGTGACCGCAGTGCCCAAGGGATAACTGCTTGAGGTCGGTCACACACGACCTTTTTATGAGTACTTTTTGTGTTAGCTCCGTACTTGTTGAGACCTTACCGCCGGAGACGGATATCCGTGGGATAAGGCGAGGTGTGCATTTGTAGAGTCGACCTTTTCTAACCCCACCCCTCCTTGTGGGAAGGCAGCATCGCTGTCATACTGGTTGTCTGAAGGAAACACCTTACTGCTGTCACACCTCTATGCAGTCAGCAGTACGACTTCGCCTTCGGACCTTGGGTTTGTTGCTTTTAGTCTTACCGCTCTTCAACCGACCTGTCTGACATGGTAGGACCTCGAGGAACGGTTGTTCAAGCCAGTATAGCTCGGTTGCTTCATCACGATAGGCAAGCCCGACCACTACGTCAAGGTAGCAACAACGGTCGTGAAATGTTTCTATGCTATTGTGATAGATTACTAACTGCTGATTTAAATGGTCAATGACTTCAAGAATCGATTATTTAGCTTGACGATGACCACATCAGATATTTTTTACATTTCACTTCAACTTTACTCACAATACTGTATCAAACTAAGCGACAGTTTAACCTGACACCTCAGAGGGTGAATACTGAATATAATTGAATATACTTCTTACAGATTTACCCATAAATTTTATACTGATGAAGTTACAGTTATAAGAAGATTCAATTTCGAAGTTTATTCTGATAGGATCTATCAACTGCTTTGTAGGCTAAGATTTAGAAATATGAAAAAAAACCTTTTGGGATAGGAAAAAGAGACGTAACACCTCACCTTTATTTGATTTTATAGCGAATAAAAGGAGAATAGAGAATATAGCATCTTGATCTGAACCGGAACCAATTTCCAAAGAACGAAATAAAGATCTTAAAAAAACACGGCCAGATAGATTTGATAAGTCAGCATCGATCGTTTTATCGTTTTGTTCAAAAACGACTGATGAATTAGATGATGAATCTTCAATTTTAACTGGGGATTTTTCAATAGATGCATCTAAAAGAAAACAATTAAGAAACAAATGGACGTTTATAAAATTGTTAATTTACAGTAAAACCTGTAATCAAGTCACAAGGTCATAAATACAGGATGAAAGCAGAGTTAAATGTTATATTCTAGAACAACATATGGCTAAAATTTGAGGAAGACTTAGAGATAATTGGTCAGCTAATTAGTTATGAAGAACATGGAACCCTGTATATATACATAATAAAAACAACTGTCCAAATTTTCACAATTTGCATAAATTCAATGAGGCAGGAAGTTAAAAAAAACCGCGAAAGGTGATCAGACGAAATAATAGTACCAATATAGTAGAATTGTGGTATATGCTACTTATGTCTGCCGACATAAGTAGTATGTAACACCAATCAGGAGTGGAATGCCTGGTAGCAGAAGGTTGAGAAGATCGAACCGAAGAGAATGGCAATGTAAACAGAGAGTAATTGTAATAGCAATGAAGGAACGATGTATTTTGATACAGATGATTGAGGATTTGCGAATGAAATATTTAATGTGTGGTTTTCACATTTTATGAAAGGACTGTAACTTTGTATTAAATAACAAATTAGTTGCCCCTACATGAGCGTTCATTCACTGCAGAACAATAAACATATGAAATATAATAATTCAGGAAGATATGAGTTAAACTATTTAACTGAAATAACACTAAAAATTAGAACTTGAAAGTACATGGAGAATGAATTCCATCTGATCCACTTTCACCAATTTCGAGTTATATTACCAAAGGATTTCAATCACAGACTATTAATTATCTCTTGGATCATATTCGTGAGCTTTGCACCTACTAACAAAACTCATATCAACGCTTAGTGAAATCATGGATTGGTGTGACTTCTTGAGATTGTTTATCATTAGCGTGCTTCCGATCTACTACTCTACTACACAATATATATCACCAAACAGTAGGTGGTGACTACAACTTGGGAAAAATCATTTAACTTCTCGTGATTAATTATCATACTCAAATAAGGTCATAACTGACGTTATACAACATTGGAATATGTGAAAACATTTTGATGAGTAAATAAAGAATTTTATCTTGTCTAGGGTTTCCTTAAAACTACCGAACCCCCCTCCCTAAGATCAACTTGGGTGTTTTTTCTCCTACAAACGCGGAAGAACAGGTTTAAACGTAATATATCTTTGAATACACTTTCTTAAACGTTTCATTGAATAGCATAGTATTCTAAACAGATGAAAGATAATTCTGAAATCATAAAAAGAGGTATTAAAAGACGATGTAACTGTGAGTAAAAAGATTTAGTATAAATAATTGTAAAAAAATGTCCTCCATAGAAATATCGTTAATGTATAAATTAGAAATAACAATTAGCTGAAAATGTAGTCAATCATAGTTGGTCGTGAGAAGCTGACATAAGCGGAATCGCCGGGTGTTTTAAAAATAATTCATTCAAATAAGCTAACTAATATGCACGAAGACAAACAGTCACATCAATTAATTTGTTGATGAAAACAATCAGAAATTAAATATTGATTAAAACTGATTATTTGATTTAGATCATTGAATATATTAACAGACAAGTCCTTATAACAGTGAATGATCTACCTAATGCTATTTATCTCATACTCTTGTACACAGTGAAGTTCATTGCACGGATTCATGACGAGAATTGTTTGATGGTAAATCAGTTTACTATAAGTTATTTTAAAATCATAATCCTTCTATGTTTTCTGTATCCCAACGCGTATTCAATTGATTCTCATTGGTATTTAACTCCGTGAGCAACAAAACACCCACAAGTCATAAGAATTCGTTTTTTAAAGTTGATTGTAATCTAGAGATGTGAGTGCAAGACAGCTTTCATATCCTGTGATAAATCATCTGACTTTGGTTATCACTTAGTCACATTAAAAGGATGATTTACTAGTGTGATATGTGATCTTTACTGTTGAAATAATATTTGGGTATCACCTTAATGAGACTTTCCATTTGGTAAATATACAATTAGAGTCATAAACCCCATTACAAAACAGAAAGAAATTGTTCAAAGATTTTACTTTTCAGAAACACAATCGGAATTTATGCGAAAGAATTAATCTGATAACCAAGAAAATACGTTAACATGTATGCGTTTAGTTGATAGAATTCATCGAGTACAGTTTGTGACTGTTTTCTCTTGAGCATGCAGCCTACATGATTGTTGTTAGTCACTCCATTTATGTCACACATTTACGGAAGATTTATACATTACCTAATCCAAATTACACAACCTCATATGTATTCGGATTAGAGCTAGCACACTGTCATTAGGTTACTAACAAAGTAACGCTAAAGAATAAACAGGGCATTTGCCAGCATGTAAACCATATTGAATTACCATATTGTTAAAACTCCAAATAGTTTAAACTACTCTAATTCTGTACAATGGTATCAACAACTAACCACGGGAACTGACATTTGGTATGGGTTCTATTACTTTGTAATCAGCAATTATTGTGACATGAACTAATTCCATTCCCACCTCGACACGTGACGGTTGGTGTAGAGGGGGTAAGTAGGAAGAAAGCTAAAGCGGTTAAATCAAAAAGTGGAATTAGTTCACGAAAACACCGACTTTTGAACTGAGCTCTGTAGACAGTTTCAGACTACCTGATTGAGGTCAGTGAAGTTATAGTGGTGACCAGTGGTTAGAGACTTTGACTGATAACTCAGGATCATCCGCAATGGTTCAAGTGTATTCACTCTTTATCTTCCCTTAGATTCTAAGTTTCTCGATTATCTTACAATGGTTTTCATCTGATGAATTCATATCTTTTTCTTGAACGCTATCTTCTATAACTAATATTTACTGCTACCACTAATACTGTTACTACCTACACTACACTGATACCTCACTGTCTTGAAGTGATATGGCAACTTCAACCGATGCCCATATGTGCCAGGTTCTATGTACGGCTACATATTACCGACTGATTGAAATTAACTCTGGGACTAACACAATGTTACATCAATATGATTAATTGTGCATACAATATAATCAACTGTACGGTTAATCTATCTTGGTAGCCTACATTACGCTAAAAGGATGCTCATTTACATGTTTATTATCTTCTAAAGTTACCATCTAACTTTAGCAACCCTTTATGACAGTAAAGCATTACCACTGAAAAGTACAATTATATTTTGAACCTATAACATAATGGTGGATATCATAAGAACATCATAGTTAATGTTAGAGTAAAGGAAAATGTCGATTATCCTTTCTTACAATAACTTAGCCAATGAAAATAACTAATAATCCGAAAGTCAAGTTAACTGATATTTAATTTATTGGGATAATGGAAACTAATATATAAAAAACTACACATCACTTGAATTCATTGAAAATAAATGATCAACTTCCTTTCATAAGCAGATCAATAATCAGGACGGAAAATGTTTCACAGTACATCAATTTACTGATAATTAAACAAAACTATGTCGATGATGATGTGACGATAATAATTATCATTATTATAATTATAACATTCAGAAAAACAAACCCATACACGAATCTTTACAGCTGTTTGGAGATTGTATTTGTGAATCGCCTGGTGACAGATCAGATGAGCGTTTTTCACATGGATTTGAAGAAATGGATGACTGAACCTGTTTATTCATGAGGGTAAAAATATGCAGAAGAATTTTTTCATTATGGGATAAGTAAAGACAAAATAAACTTACCAAGTGTTGTGTCTGAGCGATTGATTAATATCACTTGCTAAGTTCTTCAATCAGAATTAAGATTACATTTTCTCTGATACACTTCTGTCACTCCGTTTATAACCTAGCGCCCTTAGTCTTGACTAATTATACATTCTGATCGACACAATCAATCTTAAGCCATCGTAAGCTTATTGATCGGCCTATATGCAATGACTTCAATCCTCAACCTTAATTCTGAGAAGAAAGCCGTAGCCAAACCTCTATACTATATTTTAAAAAGCCTCTCCAGCAGCTATCTCAAGCCCTCATTAGCTTATATGCCCGACAAAACCAACAACATAAAATAGAAAATCATCGTTATTACACAAACATGTCAAAAGTGACTGTCAACTAGGAAAACTGTAAATAGTTGATTAGCGATAATATAGGAACAATAAAACGTACAGTAATATGTAGTGGGTCAAACGGACGCTTACAACAACTCAGTCAGTCAGTAACAACGTGGAACTTCGTACGTACATACATTGGTTCAAGTTGCCATACCACATTAGCACACAGATACAATTATAGATTCAAATTCCGTAGTGGTAGAGGTAGTAGTCAAAAGATGTTTTTGCTTATGCTTAAAGCTAGTATTTGCAAGAAACAAGCGGTTATCTGAGCATAGCTGCAACAGACGGTCGCCATTATCTGTTCTTTGAGCTACGACACCATAAGATCCACCCAGGTGTCTTTCCCTTTCGCTTAGTTTACCTACTTGAGCATTAAAGTCACCGGCCACTATTACTACATCCAAGCGACTAGCTTTTCGGAGAAGGTCGGAGAGCTTTCTGTAAAACTCATCTTTTACATCATCTGAGCTGCAGTCAGTTGGAGAATAGGCAGAGACGACGAAGAGGCAACGACGAGTGTCCCTATCTTTCCGAGTCCTTATTGTTCCGTTTAATCGGACAGCGCATAAACGACTGTCCACTGGGATCCAGTCTAAGAGAGCTAGTTCTGCCCTAGGACTCAATGTTATACCTACGCCAGCGAGGCCACGGGAATCAGAATCAGGGCTTCCAGATACACGAAGCGTAAATCGAGTTGATTCGTTACTTTGACATTGTGAGGTCAAATGAATGACACTACTCGGACCCTGTACGCGCGTTTCGGAGACGCAACACACATCGATGGCGCGAGATTGTAAAGTCCTAGCTAAGAAAGCCTGTTGTCCTATTTGGCACAGTGTTTGGACGTTGAAAGCTCCTACATGTAGTTTAGAGCGCGGTTTCAGGAGACCAAGGAATAACGTTCCGCGTACTCGAATCGTTTGCCCTAGCGGTGCGAGGTGATAAAGGGACGTGAGAAGGGTTAGTCGTGGCAATAAGAGATTTATCTGGATATAGGAGGGATTTGAATGTGACCAACTTGGTCTTGTGTGCTGTTACGGGTTTACAACAAACGGAATACAAAAACACAGTCCGGTTACTCAGTAGTTACACAATGTAAAAATAAACAACAATATTGATGAAGATAGTCTAAACAGTAAGAACCTCTCCAATACTCGTTCTGTTATAACATTAGCAAGTAAAGGCTAATGGTATTGCTCAAACACTAAAAATGAAGTAGATGTAGCCAGCTGGGTTTGAATCCATCACGCAGAGGCTGATACGTGAAGTCTCCAACCACTAAACCAATGTTTCAGAAAAACACTATAAATAACATCATAAGAAGTTCCATATTGAAATAAGATGAAAAATTTATACATTAGTCCGATCAGAAATCAGCCAAATGAGAAGTGCACGCGATTGGACCAGAAGTGGTTTACATTTCGTAGGAATGATAAAACACACCACTGGTGGCTTTATTTTCTGAAGGATATATGTATGTATGTATATACGTACAAGCATATTCGGTTAGTCAGTAAACTTTCTTTCTTACTCTCAGCCTTCTTCACTCGAGTAGCCGGTTGGGTTCATATTCACAAGAAGACTGAATAACAGTATCAACTATTGAAAACTGTGGGTCACAACAAAAATATTTAACAATTAATTGATTCCTGTACTGTACTGCTATACTGCTTATAAATTTATTCACGAGTGAATCCTTATTATACCTAAAATCATCGTATTCACAAATGACAGTCCTGATACATTCCAGAGTTTTAGAAATCCGTGAAAACTAAGAAATAAATGCTATTTAGCTTTCAGAGTGATATAAAGTTAAACATATTACTGCCTGATATAATAGCGCGAGTAGTATGTAAGTTTAACTAATGGGAGTATTGTTATATTTTTACTGCGTATTTAGTAGACCCTTGGATTTTTGTGTCCCTATATTTGAGCTGATGTAAACTAGACCACTAAAGCTGTGATTAGTGGAGTTCAATCCGTGCCGGGTAGAGACAGGTATCTACTTCAGGCAATGGATGAATGGTTACGCAACCATGTGTCACTGATTGTCCCAATATAAAAAAGGGGTCAAAATGATCCTGTGATAACCATAGAGGGATTAGTTTGACTAACACAGCGTCTAAAATACTAGCCTCAATGATTATCAGACGCCTAACAAAAACTCGTGAGCAGCGAACACGAGAAAATCAGGCTGGCTTCAGACCTGGTCGTGGCTGCACCATTCGTCAGACCTTAGAACAGAGGCATGTTTATCAGCGTCGGACAATGATGGCTTTTCTTAACTTAAAAGCAGAATTTGACTCTGTAGATCGAAAGGTTCTGTGGCAGTGTCTGTCATTGAAAGGTTTACCTCAGAAGTACATAAACTTTGTGAAGATTCCTTTTTCGAACACTAGTCTAGTCAGAGCTCATGGCGAACTGTCATCTGATTTTGCAACACTAGGTTGTGTCCGACAAGGCTGTCCAATATGTCCATTTCTGTTTAATTTCATCATAGACTTACTACTGCAAATAACGTTCTCGTCGACTGAATTCTCAGAAATTGGTCTCCTTACAGGAGGTCCACTTAACAAGTTAGAATACGCAGATGACATAGTCCTGTTTGGTGAAGACGCTGATAAAATGTAGAGTTTTTTGGTAGCACCGAACAACAATGTCGTGATGTTTGGGATCCGTTTCACCCCTCTAAATTCAAATTGTTGATTCAGGACTGACTGGCCTGCGTCAACACCTAAACTAAGAATAAAGAGTGAAGTAGTCGAACGCATTGACAACTTCACTTATCTTGGAAGTCTGATCAGCCCTAATGGGTAGGGGTCTAACGAAATCTCAGCACGGATTCGGAAAGCTCGTTTGGCTTTCGCCAACAAATGTCACCTATGGTGAAGGCGAGATATCGGTCTATCGATAAAAGGACGAGTATACTACGCAGCAGTTTGTTCTGTTCTACTTTACGGCTGCGAAACGCGGCCATTAAGAGTATGAGATAGTCGTAAGTCACTAGTATTTGATCACATATTTTTTGGAAATATTACCAACATCTTCTGGGATCACCGGATAAGTAATAGTGAGGTTAGACGCAGCGTATCAGAGCATGATGGTAAACTAGTTGATAGGGTTGTGAATCAACATCGACTGAGATGGCTGGGCCACGTGTTACGTATGCCCAAACACCGATTACCACGACGTGCAATGCTAACCGGTGTTCGGGATGGTTGGAAGAAAGTTAGGGGCGGCCAAACCAAAACGTGGCATCAGTGCTTGAAGTCACTAACTTCTAGTCTGAGCCATGTTGGTAGATGCAGACTACGTGGTTGGGGTCCGCGTGACTATCGTAACCAATGGTTGGAGACTCTTGGTGACATGGCTCAGAATCGACCACAATGGCGTAGGTGTATACGCTCTTTGTCTTTCCTTAAACAGTGAGATTAAAATTTTTCATTCTACGAACTAATTTTTTTTATTATATTCAATCCTTCTTTTATATATTACTACCACTGAAGTAACTACTTCTATGAATTTGGTGATCATCTTGCCGTGCTAATGAGGTGTGGCAACTTGAACCGACGCATAATATATGCCTGGTTCTACGTTGTAGCTGATTCACTGAATGTGATAAAAAGTATATATGCATAATAAATATGAAACGAATATGAAATTAGTATGGGAAGTTTGAAGAGACTGTTGAACTTTCACGGTTTGCATTGCGGACTGATCTTAGACAAACATTGAAAAACAAGAAGCACTGAGTAACTGTTTCATCTTAGTGTAGGACTCCTCAGCCGTACTCGTCCGCAGCTCTAGACCACTGAGCCGACAACCATTAGTGTATATGTCTGGTCTTAATCGGCTCGCGATATTGTGCGAAAACCCAACAACCTATACAAACCCTCTATACTAATAATGATCATGTGCTCATTAGCGACTAATTCTAAGAGTCCCAATGAGAAGCTGTGACTAATAGAGTTCATTCACATTGATTAAGAGATAGTTAATCACCGTATATAATGAAAAATGGACGCACAATATCACGAATTGTGTGAAGTTGGACAAGTACACACTAAGATGATGGTCCAATTGGTTAGAGGATAATGCCTTCACCCCAAAACTGAAAGTCTTGGTTCCGATCATCGAGTGAAGTTCTGAATGAGTACGGCTGAGGAGTCCTATACTAAGACGAAACGGCTACTCAGTGCTTCATGGTCCCCAATAGTTGTCTCAGATCAATCCACAGTGTAAACCATAAGAAAATAGAATTATTAAGTAACTGTAACTTAATGCATGTATAATGTAATACGATTTATTTCTGAAATAAACACAGTCAGTCATATAGTATAACAATTTCTAAACACATTATAATTGCGCAAAAACATGTAGACATTGTTTATATATTTTAACTATTTTTAGGAGTTCTTTTATTATATTTTTATAATCGAAATTTCATCACATTTCATAATATTTCAAGGAAAAACATTAATTTTGCTCCAATTGTACGAATACGGTGGACGGAGGGCATACATGTATATAGAATAAGTACGAAACTATCACTAGCCTCTCCTAATTCAGTAAACCAGTGGTCCTTTACTCATTAACTTGCTATAAATAAAAATAATATATTTGTAATATCCCAATTAGTATAAAAGTTAGGTTTTTCTACTCATTGGGATATTACTAATATATAACTGCTCAGTTTATTTGGAATTCAAACCTTAGTAATGATACTTACAAACTCATTAACTTGCTGTTTTAAAATGGTTTGAAACCAGCAACAGAGACAATAAATGCACGCATGTTATCGTTTATATCTTGAGTTCAGTATTATCATTCCATACTCTTTACTCAGCAGTTTTATTTACTCTTTTTGAAATATATTCCTATATGTTTAGTTTTCTATTATCATTGGTACTATTATTATTCCCAATCATTGTCTTTTTTTAGCTTGTTAGTATTTTTGTTGAGTTAATGTAATGTAACAGCTTACAGCAATCCATATCTGTCCCAGATTGTGTGTTGTTTACGACTGACTGACCTTATTTCTACGGCAAATATGAAGGAAATCCTACCATTTTTTAAAGTCGCGTCAACCGGATTTTCACGATACTCGAGACGAAGAAAACGTCAGAACTACTTGTGTCTTAAATAGAAGTTAGCTTTTCACCCATCTTTGCTATCAGTTAATATGACCTCCAATGATTAAAACTTCCATAATTTCATATTTTAATTCGGTAAAAATATTCGAAATGATGTGACGATTGTCATTTCTCGACCTGATCTTCACAAGAAATTACATGTGACTAAAATATATGTTTCTTTAATGTAAAAATTCATTAAATTTAGACAGTCATAAGTACAGATCATGATGTTACCAAGGAAAAATAAATGAAAAATGCCCTAAGGTTTCATGAGTTATGTGAAGAAATAGAACATTTTCCCTTTTCACCGCCTTCCAGGATAAAGCAGCCGACCATCAACCCTTAGATTAAACATTGGGACCACACTCCACTCATTTCAGTTCGAACAGCCGAGTAGTATTGTAGTGAAGGAAAGCACAGGGGAGGACAACCGATTATATTTAGCGCTGTGTTAATCGGTATTCAGACATACGTAACACGTGGCCCAACCATCATTCGCTAATATCCTGCGTCTAACTTCATTATTACTTATCCGGTGATCCCAGCAAATGTTGGTAATATTTCCAGAAAAAAATGTGTGATCAAATACTGGTGACTTACGAGTATCTTCTACTCTTAATGGCCACATTTCGCAGCCGTAAAGTAGAACAGAACGAACTTCCACGAAGTAAGTCTTCATACGTAAGACATGTAGCTCATAGAGAGGTATCTATGCTTGTACTTAGTAAATAAGTTCCATATAATTAGATAAAGCTAAACCCTATTGAATTCATATATTTAAACCAAACTATTCCATGAATGACCACTTGCCAAACCGTTGATTTTCACTGTCTACATAAAAAACATCGTTTCCGTTGTGACGGCCCAATTGATTTGCGACTGTGTTGGCCAAGCTGTTAATCTTTGTTCACAAGACCAATAATCGTCTAGAATCTCAACTGAATGAACTTTTATAAAAAAGCATGATGTACCTTAAGGGAACAAAACTACCATTGTATACACAAAATAATCGACGTAAATATAGTCTAACTACGAGTTATTTGTAAACTAATTAATGGATAAACAGTCAAGAATAGAAACATGTCGCAGAAAATAGATAATGATTATACACTTCAGTTAAAACAACGTCCTTATAACTAATACACCATTTTCATGCAGTACGATAGAAATTTTAAACAGATCAGAAATCTGTATGATTAGAGGTTGACTATAATTTCCAAAGTAATAATAATAACAGTTAAAACCCTGTATATTTTAAACTCACGTAAGTTTCTGTATTCTTCTCCACTAGTTTTAGTGGAGCCACATTGGGTGGCCATAGAACAGACATCAATGTCGGTGTTACACCTTTCGCTTGAGTTAATCCATGTTCTAATGATTCACTAGGTTGAGAAAATATCAATGGATTTTTGGATGTCACTGAATGTATTAAGTAGGTAGTTAATCTTTGCCCAGGTGATGCTTGGTCAGAAGCTCGTAAAGACACAGTGGCAGCAATTAACGTTTTAGCAATGATCATTGCTGGATCATCATCAGATGCAGTATCATCAGTCTCTTCGTAATTTAAATTTCTTTGAAAACTTACAGAACAATCCTGAGTTGTGGAGTCATTGAAGACAATTTGTGAATTGGAACATGGTATATTACAAGGTATTATTAAGCCAGGCAATGTGAGATCGCCAATTAGAATAGCTTCCGTAAGTAAACAGATTAGTCGAGTATCACGTAGAAATAAATACACATGAATTAGTGTAAACACTGTCACGGAATAGGATAGACGAGGTCTACGAACCTTTCAAAATAAATAAATCAAAAAATTAGTACCGTTTCATTTTTATTAAAACGAAACGAAAAATTGGTTAGATCGTAATACTTGTTATATATATAAAGCCTGTCCCGTTATTATTATACTGTTGGAAACATTATAAAACATCATTATCAATGACTAACTTATCATTAATACAGTATCAATATTATGACACTAACTGTTAATTACTGTAAAGATAATGATTCAATTCACTTGATTTTTAATTATTCAATCTTGGCTCTAGATGCCATTCTTTTGATTTAGAGTTTGGACAGCCAGATAACATCATCAACGTGCATCTATAAGATCTGCCTAAAACCCTAGTACATGAAGAAAATGCACGTAGTAAATAATGTGCATAGTTGTTATTAATCTTATATAATGCGCATAAACACAAATAGTTCTGAAAAACAATCTCATATTCTTTGAAATGCTTAAATACCACACAAATAATCGATCACTAAAATTCTTACTAACAATAAGATGCTACATATTCTCATATGATACCTAAGTAAACTCATGGACAGAGGTTACAAAACCATAAGCTGATTAGAATATTTTCTTCTCAAACAATATTTTGCAAACACTAACGTTATCTCACAAGCACTGAGTCGTGCTTTTTAATGTGGTCTATCCAAGTAGCATAATGGTAAGATCAATATGAACAGTTTTCTCTCCTTAATCAAGACCTTAGCCATCTGGTGTGCATATTTGTTAGGTTTTACCGACCAACTTTTGTTTCAAAATGGATCCAAACTAAAGAGTTTAATAAACAGAGCATCAAACCGTTAACCTAACACTGTATAGGCTGTCTACTTGAACACTACTGGTCGAGTCAGAATTTATGGTGACCTGTCATTGAAATTGAAAACTTCAAGCGGTGTTCGTCAGCGTTATCTTTTTTCTCTATTTTTATTTAACTTTGTGATAGATATCCTTCTACATATGACATTCATCATCTGACTTGTCAGGAGCCGATCTTCTGCCAGGAAATTCTCTTGTTGGTTTGAAATACTCAGGTGATATAGTTCTGTTTGATGAAGACGCTGACAAAGTGTAAGGTATTCTGGCCGCCGTAAGCAACAATGTTGACATTTCTGGGATGAGTTTCTCTCCCTCCAAATGCAAAACGTTTCTTCAAAACTGGTTTATATCAACGCCTGAACTAGTTATAGGGAGTGAATTAGTTGGGTACGTCGATCAGTTCATTTATCTTGGAAGCCTCTTTAGTCCTGATGGGCTGGTGTTTGACGACATCTCAGCAAGAATTCAGAAAGCTCAATCAGTTTTTGCCGACTTGCGTTACTTGCGGCGTTGGAAAGATCTCCGCCTGGAAACCAAAAGATGAGTTTACTGTGCAGCAGTTAGATCTATTCTCGTTCGTGCCTGCGAAAAGTGGTCATTTTAAGTAGAGAATATTCGCAGGTTACTAGTTTTTATCATTGATGTCTTCAAAGCATTGTTCATTTATGTTGGGATCATCAAGTAGGGAATTCTAAGGTTAGATGCAGAGTACTAGGTAGTTAAGGCAAACAGATGGATGAGGTAGTCAATCTTTATCGAATGAGATGGTTAGAATATGTATTGCGTATTCACATTCATCGAATTGTTCGATGAGTGATAATGGCTGTTGTAGGGGAGTAAGTTGAAAGAAAGCTAGTTGTAGCCAAACCAATACACAGAAGAAGTCCATGAAGATACTAACTGTCAGAGTAACCCTAGTAGGCATTCTCAGATTACCGAATCGGGTTGCGAGTTATTGTCGCGACCAATGGTTAGAGACTTCGAATAACATGACTCAGAATCGTTCGCAATGGTTTGGGTGTATCCACTCTGTTTTCAACTCCACCTGTATCTCTTCTATAGCTACTGCCGGTCCCAAGCCCGGGTAAAGGAGGAGGTTTGAGCATGGGGTCGACAACCACATCCCGTACAAAACAAGTGTGCTAAAAAACGCCAACCAGATTAAACAAATAAAAACATTTAAACTCTACCCTGAGAGTTGAAGGAAGAATTATGACGCCTCATACAGAAAAACAAAATTCTTAGGAAGTCACAAGACTGATGCCCATTCTAACAGCAAGAGCAACAATTTTTGTAGGGACATGGAACATCCTGAAAATGTGAGAGACCGGGAGGACCAATCAAATAGTTCAGAAAATGAGGAGATACAATTTGGCAGTACTCGGAATCAGCGAAACCCATTGGACCCAAGCTGGACAGAAATGGATAGATTCGGGAAAGATGCTGTTGTATTCTGGTCACGAAGAAGAAAATACTTAGCACACTCGGGAAGTGGCTCTGGTGCTGTCCAAAAAAGCACGTGATGCACTTGCAGGATGGAAGTCTCACGGACTCGGAATCATCAAAGCATCTTTAAAAACAAAGAAAGAGGGACTTACAATGAATGTCAAGCAGTGTCATGCACCCACCAATGATACCAATGACGACAATAAAGATCAGTTTTAAAGGAGGCTGCAATCAATCATAGCGAAGTGCCTAGGTAAAGACCTGACCATCCTGATAGAAGACCTAAACGCCAAAGTCGGAATGGACAACATCAGGTGTGAAGACATCATGGGACAACATGGACTGACTAGAAGAAAGGAACGAGAATGGTGACAGATTTTCGAATTTGTGTGTATTCAACAATATGCATATATGTGGCACAATATCCCCACAAAAACGCACACACAAAGCTACATGAGTCTCACCGGAACACACCACGGAGAACCAGATCAATCAGATTTACATCACCGACAAATTCAGATCAATGGAAGATGTGAGAACCAGGGCAGGAGCTGACATAGCTTCAGATCAAAACTAGCTAGTAGTTGCCAAGATGAAACTGAAGCTAAAGAAACGGTGGACAACGGGGAAACAACATTACATAGGTTCAATGTAGCCTTCCTTCGAGATACCGTCAAACTCAACGAATTCAAGACAACTCTCAACAACAAGTTCCGAACCTTACAGGATCTACTGAAAGAAGAAACTACTATGAACCACAACTACAAAGGGATCAAAGAATCACCGACTTCAACAAGTCAAGAGGTTCTTGGCAGCAACAAGCATCATCATCATAAGGAATGGATCTCTATCAAAACCCTAGACAACATTCACGAATGAGACAACAAGAAGGTAGCAATTAGTAACAGCCGAACAAGAGCAGAGAAAGTCAGGGCACATGCTGAATACACAGAAGTAATCAAGAGAGTGAATAAAAGCATTAGAGCTGACAAGTAGAAATATGTGGAAGACATAGCAATGAAAGCGGAAAACTCGGCAAGTGAAGGAAATATGAGACAACCATGTGATGCGACGGGGAAACCAGCGGGGAAATATAGTAAACCAGAGAGATCGGTCAAGAACAAAGAAGGCAAGCCAATCACCGAGATTCAAGAACAGAGTAACAGAAGGTTAGGATAATTCGAGGGACTCTTGAATAGACCAGCCCCACTGAATCCATCGGACATCGAAGCAGCACACACAGACCTCATTATAGATGTCACTCCAACAACGATGGATGATCATCAGACAATATACCAGCTGAAGCTCTGAAGCCAGACATAGAAGTAACTACAGGTATGCTTCACGTTCTATTCAGGAAGATTTGGGAGGAGGAACAAGTGCCGACGGACTGGGAAGAAGGACACCTCATCAAGATATCAAAGAAAGATTTGAGCAAATGTGAGACCTACAGAAGCATCATACTACTGTCAGCACCAGGAAAAATTTCCAACAGTGTGTTATTAAACCGAATGAAAGATTCAATGGACGCCCAACTTCGAGATCAACAGATTGGATTCCGTAAGAATCGGTCGTGTACAAACCAAACTGCGACACTATGGATCATCGTTGAGCAATCAATTGAATGGTACTCGTCACTATACATCAACTTCCTTGATCATAAGAAGACGTTTAATAGCATGGATAGAAAAACCTTGTGGAGCTTTCTTGTACACTATGGAGTACGTGAAAAATCGTCAACATCATCCAGAATTCATACGACGGACTACACTGCAATATCATGCATGGCCGACAGTTAACAGACGCGTTCCGATTGAGGACTAGTTTCAGACAAGGCTGCTTACTCTCCCCTTTTCTTTATCTTCTGGTGATTGGCTGGATTATGAAGGCCTCCACATCTGAGGGGAAGCACGAAATACGATGGACAGCTTAGAATCAATTAGACGATTTGGACCTGGCCCTCCTATCCCATACAAACGAACAAATGCAGACCAAGACAACTAGTGTAGCAGCAGCCACTGCATCAATAGGCCTCAACATGCACATATGAAAAAGCAAGACCCTCAAATAAAACACGGTGAACACCAACCCAATCACACTTGATCGAGAAGCTCTAGAAGATGTGGAATATTTCACGTACCTGGGAAGCATAATGGATTAACAAAGAGGGTCGGATGCAGACGTAAAGGCGAGGACTGGCAAAGCAAGGGCTCCATTCCCACAATTGAAGAACATATGGAACTCAAAACAACTGTCAGCCGACATCAAAGTCAGAATCTTCAATACGAACGTCAAGACAGTCCTACTGTACGGAGCTGGAACTTGAAGGACTACCACAACCATCCCAAAAGGTAAAGGTATTTCTAAACAATTGTCTACGTAAGATACTCAATATCCGTTGGCCGGATACCATCGACAACAGCCTACTGTGGGAGTAACCAAACCAGCTTCCAGTTGGAGAGGAAATTAAGAATAGATGTTGGAGGTGGACAGGACAAACTTTGCAAAAATCACCAAACTTTATCACGAGGCAAGAGATAACTTGGAATCCTGAAGAGAAACGGAAAATGGAAAGGCCAAAGAACACACTGTGTCGAGGATTGGGGGCAGACATGAAAAGGATGAATAGCAGCTGGAAAGGATTGCCCAAAACAGAGTTAGATGGAGAATGCTGGTGGGAGGCCTGTGCTCCTCCTCATCAATCGATCACACCGGCGTAAAATCGTAGGCTATCTATCCATTACTGTCACTGACAAATTGTCCTTATTAGTTAAAAGTTTTGTTTACGGATTCAAGTATATCGTTATTTGAACCAATCTTTGAAACACTTTTGTTTGATTAAAAAACCTCAAATAGTACAAGCTAGACATTCGGAATCCCCTGTTTATCAATATATATATACGTCAAAAAACAAGATCTCCTAGACTGGATTCCAACAAGCAGTCGTTTGTAGGCTGTCTGACTAAGTGAAGAAGTAAGAACATGGAAGGATGGGGACAAATGCTGTGGCCTTTTCGTCGTCCCTGTTTGCACTCAAATTGACTGCAAGTCGGATAAAGTGAAGGTTGAGTTTTACAGGAAACATTTTGCTCTTCCATACTAGCCAGGCGATTACTCAGTCTCCCTCATTCACAGACACTTTTTGGTCTGTCTATGCATAAATGTTATTTTTCATTTTATAGTGTGATACGGTCTGGTCTGTTTGTATATAAACTGCGTTTAGAACATGGGTACAGTGGAGACTGGTTGCTAACTTTTAGACTCAAAGAAAGGGCACAAAGAGAAGCTAGAAAACGGTGGACCAATAGGAACTTAGCTGCTGAATCAAGGTTAATAGTGCTGGTCGGACGTGTAATTGACTGCCAGAGGAGATACCAAGCTACCGAGTAATATTAGATGCGAATTAGAATCAGGATTCTGATAGGCGAATTGTCACATGATTTTGACCAGCAATCACAAGATATAAAAAAAGCCTGTCGACCTATTTAACATAAGGCCTGAATGGTGAGAGCTCTAACGTGTAGTTTGGAAGGCAATTTCAAGAGATCAGGAATAAGTTTCGTAGACTCGAATAGTTAGCATTGGTGGCACATAGAGATAAAGTCACGGGAGAAAGGCTAGTGGTGGGGATAGGAATATCAAGAAGTGACGGAGGGATTCGATCGTGAACAAGAGGATCTCTAGTGCTGTTAGGGGTACGAGGGCAGTTGTCACTTCCAGGTTACCCAAACCGGAAAAGGATATTTCTTCTTGACGGACCTGATTTATTTATTTATTTAAGCACATAAAAAATGGTACAAAAAACTTAGCACCACACAAACCATTTAATTTGTGTGAGGGCTGAGATACTGCCCAGATGTTTAAACCGAAGCAGGTGGTTTTCTTAGTGAGCCACTCCCCGAGCCTTTGACCTAGAGCACTAATCCACAAGGCAATGGAACAACGTAAGGAGATGCAGCTCCAATGTAGCCAATGACCAACAATAGGTTCATACGCCATTTGTTTCCTCAGGGCCCTGGGGCCCATGTGCACTAGTGGTTTAGGATCAGAATTTTCTAACTCCCCTAGGTGGATCTTCCATATCCACCAATCCGGTCAAAGGGCCAAATATTCGCTTTTCGTCCTCTCGATTTTGAAAAAAACATCTCCGTCGCGAGAAGGCAGTGAGTAAAACTTCCCTGGCAGTTGCTGTATACGCGTGGTCATGTAAGAGTGTTTCGAAACGGAGAACTGACTCTTGATCGTACCAGGGTGTTTTGGGGACCTGAAAAGGAAACTAGGTTATGGGTAGTCTTAATGACCTGGAAGAGTGACCGAGGAACCCAAAGGACAACTGCTTGAGGCCAGTTATACACGATCTTTCTGTGGGAAGTTTGTGACATGTTAACTCCGTGCTTCAAAAGATCTTATCACCGGAGACGGAAATCCGTGGCTTAACATGAGATATGATGTTTTTAGTGTCAGTCTTTTCTAACCCCCTCCTTCCGTTGTAAAGCAAATTCGCCATAGGTACTGACTGCCTGAGAGGAACACCTTACTGCCGTCATACCTCGGTACCGTCAGCAATATAACTTTGCTCTCAGACCATTATTTTGTTACTTTTAGTCTTACCGCTCCCAACCGATCTGCTTAACATGGTAGAACCTAAATGAACAATTTCTTTCTAAGTATAGCCCGGTCAGATCATTACGATAGGCAAGCCCGACCACTACGTCAATACAGAAACCATTCAATGGCGCAAAGAATTTGTGCTTACTGTAAGACACGAAGAGCCTAGGCTATATACCCCACGGGAACGTGAGCACTCATTTTCTAGTAGTTTCAAGCTAAACAATCCAACTGTGCAATTTTACTCTCTAATTTTCAATAGTCTGCCAACTAAAGCCACTTGTTCGTAATGTAAATCATCTTTAGAATATACTTGAAAAGTTTCCACAAAAGTATTTTAGTAAATAAACGATGATCGATTAGACAAAATGACCGATATGGCCACAAAAGATGGCTATGAGTTAATATGAAACAGATATAGAAAGCAGTTGGAACACAAAAGAAAAAAGTATTTATTCTAACCGAGATGTAGTCAACGACTTGCTTGAATTTACGAGATACTCCTATCAATGGATGAGTAATCCAGAATATTGGTTTTCAGACAGCTTAATCACAGTTACTTTGATTATTATAGTAGACGTTACTTTCTGAATGAAACTAAAACGCCTTTAAATTCATTATAAGAAAATAGATGAACTATTTTTTTGCATTGTTTCATTTAAAATTTACCCAACTATATGGTTCCTAGTGTTTTACAACTCATTAGAGAAGCTAAAATAGTTGCTTACAGTACAGCCGCAGCATAAAACTTTATAAATCCGTTTTCTCTTCAAAATAAACTTTTGAGTTTGTTGGTTATAGGTGGTTGGCTGAAATGAGACTAGGACTATAAATGTGTTGGGGTTGTAAACCCAAGACACGAAACTTAGTCTATGGTGTCATTAACTGTTAGTTCTTACATAAAGTACACAATAAAATCCTAATTAAGCCTAATAAAATGGTGGACGGATATGTGTTAACTTGAAAAATATATCGTATGTGGAAATTAAAACGCGTAGTTTCTTTTTCCCATCACATATATATTCAGGCTACACATAAAAAACACTTGTCAACTTACTGTCCCTAGATTTGTTGTTGCATCCGACTTGTATTGTTTCAATAAGGAGTAGATATGTAACGGTATAAATAATCTCCTCAGTAACTGGTCACACAGTACTTCATTTAAACCTTCTATACCCAGTGACAACAAGTCATCTATGTAGTGTAAATGATCAATATGCTCTGCAACTAAATCTTTCAACTTAGTTTGACACCTATTAAGTAATTACAAAAAAAAATTTCTACTGTTAATGAATTCGTACCAAACATTGAATGAATATTTGAAGGCAAACATATTTACTGTGAAATGAAAACATGATATAACGAAGACATAAACATAAGTAACATGGAAGAACATACCCGGACGAAAATTGGAGAAATGGTAACTCTCTGAACTAATTCATCGATTATTGTAATATTATTGTATTGTTACTGGGTAACTGGGATATATTTATATAGTGTTTATCTTAAGCTTCCGTTTAACTCACTATCTATTATTGTGTTCTTTATAATTCCTATTTTATTGCCAATCGATTATTCTTAGCTTGCCCTATTCGCAACCACTTTTGGCTTATTTATGAATAACTGTGACTTTATTTTAAAGGTGGGATGAGGCCCAATATGTCTATATAAAAATCCATGTATGTTTGGAATAATGACAGAAGCTGGCTGTTGACTTCTCCTTGGACTTGAGGCAAGGGATAGAGAAGGCTTGAGTATAGCAGACCAATCGAGACTTACTCTGCGTCGACCCAAGGTTGACGGCGCTGATCAGATGTGTAAGTGGACAAGTTTAGGACACCAGGACGTAGAAAAAATAGTAGACGCGTCATAAATAAAAGTCGGAGTTAAAATTCTGAGTAGTAGTTTTAACGCGTGATATCGACCAATGATCTTAAGCCACAACATGAAGAATGTGCACAAACAAATATCCCAAAAGTTTTCAACAACTTCAGTCAACAGGCTGTTATGAGTAGTAATATCAACCTACTGCATATTTGATGAAAAGCAATCAAGGTAACTTACTGGCCTAATGAATAATGCTTCCAGTTACAAAAGTGAGGGTTACTGGTTAAATCCCAAAAGTAAATTATTTTTTCATAACCTTAAAGATCATTCCAGTTTAAGCGAATTAAAAATTGGACAGTAAATATATAAATCATGCCTTAATCCCCAATACGAACTAAATTATATTAAACAACGAACGGAACGTGATATAACACTGTAGTACAGTTTATTTAGTGTTAAGCATCCACAAGAAATTAAAGTGCCACTAAATTTAAAGTCTCAGTGTTTTCGTTAATAATTATAAATTTAATAGTTGAATTCATGAGTCAATTAAAGCTAGACCACCATGACAGCCTGGAAACACTGGACGGCCGTTTTGTCCTAGTATGGGACTCAACAGTGCACATCCACGACTCCGCTCGCGGGATTTCAACCCAGGACCTACCGGTCAAGCGTGCGAACGATTAACCTCTAGACCACTGAGCCAGCATCCAACGGTGTTAATGTCTAACTCCAACCAATCCACGGAATCACACCACCGTCCACCATTGTCTCCAGAGAGTTGTTACTATCTCACAACAGACCCCGTTGAACTCCACAGAACCCCTTTCTGATTATAAGTATAAATTTGCTGAACGTTCCATTTTAATTACTGTAATACAACTCAAAAATCAAGTATAAATTCATGTTCTAAGCACAGTCAATTTCTATTGGTGAAAACTAATGATACTACCAGGCCGTTAGAACTGAATTAGGCGAAATAGGGTTAAGGAATAGGCCATTGAAATCTCTGCGACAGAACTAAAGAGAACCAAAATCAACTAGAAAATTATTAAACATAGTAGATTTCAATCTTTCATACATCCTGACCCCTTGATAGGCTTAAGAAAAAGCGAGGACAATATTTCCAGAATAGAGTGAATTCATTATATTTCAAGGCTCCTCACCAGTTGCAAACGGCCTAAGTTTACAATCGAAATATTATTATAAAATTGTTATTGCATACCATAATCAATGAAACGCCTTAAACAAGAGGAAACAATATATTTAACATAATAATTAAGGTTGATTAGTATTTATACGGAAATATTTCGATTGTGAATTTAGACCATTCGCAGCTGGCGAGACGTCTTTACAACTGACTGGTCTATTTTAATCAAGGGAAGGGAAAAAACATGTGGAATAGTAAGTGTTATATGTATTATATACGATGAAAAAATATCACTTACTTATGACAATCAATATCTAATATTGTATTACCTATTGACCACACAAGATGTGAGAAGTAAATTAATGAAGTCTGATGGTGAATAAACTCCAAAGCAGCTTCATCTTTAACTATTAACAACAAAGAACACATTGGTTAAAAAATGAATCAAAACAAAACGATAAACAACTAATTATGATAAATCCTACCTTTATGTACATTTAGAGTGATAGTACGTACAGCAATACGAACCATACCCTCCGGGTGAGCGAACAATTTAATCGCTTCAACATATAAATTAAACTCTCGACGAGACTAAAATATAATAATGATAATGAACAGTTTTTAAATGCGTTTTTAAAACAGCATTACCTCAATGTAGAAAAAGCTGATGGTATTTACGTTGAGACGAAAGGATAATATTTTTAGAAAGGAAATATAATAAGCCATCACCTAAGAGAGAGAAATAGAAAAGGGTTGACAAATAGCTATGTGGATCTACTTCTTCGTCGGTGAAATCAAAACGATGCGTAATGATAGCATTTGTATGATTGTTTGACAGAAGGTAATCTGAAAAAAAAATTCAAATAAGGCAAATGAATACTTACAGATAGCTGTTTGATTTGTTATATTTTCAAATAAGATATTTAAAGTTTGTAGTAACTGAACACATATTCTTCGACTTAAATCTTGTTTCATATACTGCAAAAAGTACTCCAGAATATTCTTTTCAAGAAAAAAGCTAAATAATATTTTTTTAAATGAATCAGAAAGTTACTCCATGACTGAACTATCATTTTGATCACCCCAGATTAAAATTTCTGCAATTAATCGAAGAGCTTCAACTAGTATCCCATAGTTTTGTTCACTAACAGCTCGATTCTTTTGTAACACGGAGTGAAGATATCTATGGAAATAGAGGATAAATCAAACTCCGAGTCTTGGTCAACTTTGATCGAATTACTGAGAAGAAACAGTTAACTGGAATTCAAAAAACTAGCAAAAAATATGTAATCAACTAGGGTATGAATTCTATGAGAGACAAACATTTCACTTTACGTAAGAAACATGTGGTCAACAAGTGGCTTACAGAAATATGATTTATTCGCAAGTCAGTCAGTCAGTCAGTCAGCTACAACGACTGACTGGCTTGCAAGGGTTGTCATAACTTAATATAAAGTATATATATAAAGTAGTGGGGTTTTCAACTTGCAAATCAATGGCAAAAAACTGGGTCATTTAACCACAAAGTTACAGTCAGTCAGTCAGTCAGTCAGTCAGTCAGTCAGTCAGTCAGTCAGTAACAACGTAGAACTTCGTGTTTAGAGATGTTATTTAAAGAGTATAATACAGTGAAATAAATTTGGAAAGAGGAAAAAAGGGACATGAAGAATTCAGAAGATTAGAATTTGGGAGAACACAAAGAGTGGATGCACCTGCACCATTGCAAACGATTTTTAGCCATGTCATTCAGCGTCTCTAACCATCGGTTGCTATCATCTCGCGGTCCCCAGCCAGGTAGTCTACACCTACCAACATGACTCAGTCCACTTGTCAGTGACTTCATGGACTTGTGCCATGTTTTGGTTTGGCCACCCCTAGCTTTCTTCCAACCTACTCCTATACCACTGAACATAGCACGTCGAGGCAGTCGGTCGTTGGGCATACGTAACACGTGTCCCAGCAATCTCAACTGATGAAGTTTCACTACTTCATCAATTAATTTGCCATCCTTACCTAGTACCCGTTTCCTAACAACTGCGTTACTTACTCGATAGTCCCAGGATATACGAGCAATATTTCGAAGACACCTATGATCAAATACTAGTAAACCCGTCCTTTGGTTGACAGACGGATATCTCGCCTACGCCATAAATGACGCAAGTTGGCAAAAGCTAGTCGAGCCTTCTGGATCCGTGCTGAGATTTCGTCACACACCAGACCACAAGGGCTGATGAGACTTCCAAGATAAGTGAAGCGATCGACACGCTCAATTACTTCACTCCCTATAATTAGTTCGGGTGTCAATGCAACCCAATCCTGAAGCAACATTTTGCATTTCGAGGGGGAGAATCGCATCCCGAACATGCTTGCATTGTTGCTTAGAGTGGTCAGAAGACTCTGCATTTTGTCAGCGTCTTCGCCAAATAAAACTATGTCATCAGCATATTCTAAGTCAACAAGTGAACCTCCCGGTAGAAGTTCAACCCCTGGAATTTTAGATGAGGAGAGCGTTATCTCTAAAAGTACGTCGACCACAAAGTTGAGCAATGAATCAGCCTGGAAAGGACCCAGTTCCTTAAACGCCACTTTACACAACTGAACTGAACAAGTACATCGAGAACTCTGATATTTAAGTACCTCAGAGATGAAAGTTCCCGTATAACATATTTAACTCCTGGCTTGTTACTGGGAAATGGGTAAACCCGGTTTTCGAGCAGTTCGGGAGACTTCAGTGAAGTACGTCCATCAACCCCGACGTAGTTCAGAAACGTGCTTGGTACACCTACCTGGAACCTGTTCTGAAACGCGGTGAACTCGCAAGAACCAAATTAACACAAATGGACCATCCTTCATCTAATTTCCAAAAACGGGAAGAAATCTAGCCCAAACTGTTCCAAACTCGTATATCAGCCCCTAGCATGAATATAATAGGATGTTCAACAGGCGATCGAATGAGAAAACTCACTGATTAAGAATATCACTTTTAATGAAGTCCCATGTTAACATACAAAACATAGTTGACACGTAGTATTTTAGAACAGAACAGTAGGATTTTTCACTGTAACTGGAAAGTTTAGATTTCCGCTTTCCTCCTGACTTCGAAGATAAATTCAATACAATTCCATGTTATTTATTTATAACAGAACAAACTTGGTGCAATCAGACACCAAGATATGAGTTGCTTAAAGCGAAATAAAGATATTGAGGGTGAAAACAACCCAAAAACCATGTAATACAAAGGAAACGAGTTTAGCTGCATAACAACAATTCAAAGATTAGCGGGACCAAGATACATCTCATCCAGTAGCAATATACCTTACTGTTCATAAGCAACACAACAAAATATTACAGTAACACAGATACAGACTCCTTTTCCTTGTCACCTACGATGGTGTCTTTCACCATTGTGTTGAGAAATATCCATGACCCCATTCAGGAGATGAAGATAAACTAACTGGGTATCACTAGTTAGTTCAAACTGTATTATTCTGTCCTATGTGCAGCGGGCCATACGGAAACTTGTGACGAATATCTTAGCCTCTGATCCCAGATTACACAGAAGAATGATGAAGCTACACTATGCTATATTGCTAAAACTGTATGACAACGATAACCGAACTAACCTTGGTCGACGAGGATGCACCCTCAATAAGATCAATAATCTACCGCTGAAAAAACTTAAATTTCAAATGTATAATATGGTTATACATAACTTATGTTTAGTCAAGTATTTAGTCAGTTTTGGACGCCTCGAGAGGCTATATTTGCTAAAGGCATTCACTCATTGGGGATAAAAAGCAGTATACCCCTCGGCTGCTTAGAAAGTCACAAACGCCATAATGAAGTATTTACGATAGTTCCCATAGTATTTGTGGACAAATACTCCACGAACCTCACGAAATGAAGCAACTCCAACGCTGAAAGTCTTTGAGAGTCTAAATTACAACGCCAACGATACTCAGAAAGTCCTTGACTAAGTAAGAATGCAGGTCAAATGCAAGCTATACATTACAATAAGGTAGGAAGTATGCTCCGATTTCTATTTAATATTCCTGTTTGAGGGAGAGAGATGAGTCATACACGGATTTTTGACAAGAAAATGGATCTGTGGTGACTAGTTGGAGACTCCTTTGCCGTGCATTATACTTCACACGAAATTACCTAGACGTATATAAATGAACAACAAAGTAATGAATACATCATTGAAAGACATTGAAAAATTCGGAGCGACTAGAACTAACTTCAAATTTTCAAGAGAATGAACCTTTTTTGGCTTCGAGAGACTACTTTTCCCTCGTCCGAACATCTTTTAGGTTGATACGCACATAGTCTTAGTACGCGCTGTCCAATATCCAAAAATGCTTGTGATGAATTGGACTAGTACGTTTTGATTTATACATGATGTAAAAGAGAACTTCTCTGGCAAATTTTAGCAGGCTGATAGAATCACGTTGCTAAATACGTTCCATCAAACCGGGAATGTGTCTGGAGATCGACTAGTTTTGAGTTGAGTCTTTGATTTTACAGATCAGATTCAGATTTGTGTAGTAAGGACAGAAGGCCTACGGCCTATGTTATTCCTTTTCTAGTATGCTTCTGAGAGTGTCCAGTGTTCTCTTGAAAGAGTCAATTGAAGGTGCGGACACCACTGCTTCAGGCAGCAGGTTCCAAGTATTGATGACTCGGTGTGAAAACCTGTATGCCACTGGTATTTTGTTCGTTCTTGGCTTTTCTACTCGCCTGCTATGTCCTCTGAGGTGTCCCGACCTAGTGGGAAGAAAGAGAGAGAATAAGTTAGGTCCGAAATCATTTCTCAGTATTCTGTACACCAATATTAGATCTCCCCTTAGTCTGCGATAGGACAGAGTAAAGAGGTTCAGTTTTTCAAGCCGCTCTTTATATGATAAACCCCGGAGTTCCGGAATTGCACGCGTAGCTGCCCTCTGTACCTTTTCTAGCATGTCTGAGTCACCCTTTAAACAGGGGTTTGCAGCCTGAACACAGTTCTCTAACTTAGTTCTCACTAAGGATGTGTATAATGTGGTGAACATGATAGTATCAAACTTAGTGAATGTCCTTTTTAAAGCCCAGAGGGTTCGAAACCCCTTAACTGCAACCTCCCGGCAATGGGTCGTCGTCTTAAGATCATTGCTCATTGTCACCCCTAGGTCCTTATGAGACGGGACTACGGGTAATGACACATCCCCTATGTTGTACGTATTAACCTTTGAATCCCCCAAGTGCATGTAGACACACTTTTCCGAGTTGATAGGCATCAGCCACTCTTTAGACCAGTTTATCATATTAATTAAGTCTGCCTGAAGAGTAAATGGGTCTTTGTCTCCAGTTATTACTCGCCAAATTTGTACATCGTCAGCGTATAATAACACTGGAGACTGTACTATACTTGTAAGATCATTAATGTACATGATAAAAAGTAAAGGACCTAGGATGGAACCTTGGGGTACTCCACTAAGTACTGGTCTCCAAGTGGAGCACTTGGAATTTATTCTTACTTTTTGCCTACGGCCTACTAGGAAATCCTTAATCCATTTTAAAAGAGGTCCGGGAATACCAAGGTTTGCCAACTTCAATAGCAGTCTATTAGTTGGCACCTTGTGTATTGAGGATAAAAGACCAATGGACTGTGCTATTCCCTTTTAGTAGGTCTCTCTGAGCCTTGTTCTACTGAATGGCTCAAGTGAAAGTGTGAACACTACTTTCCCGAATAGAAGGTTCCAAGCGTTTATGACTCAATGCGGAAACATGAATACCACATATATTTTGTTCGTTCCTCTCTTTTGAATCCATTTGTGGTGCATTCTAAATCTTTATGATCTTTTGGGGAGAAGGAGAGTAAATACGCCAGGTTCAAAGCCATTTCTAAGTATTCTATACATCAAAGTCAGACCATCTCCGAATATACGGAAAGACGGGGTAAAGAAGTCTAACTTCTCAGGCCACCCTATGTATGGTAGACCCAGAAATCCTGTACTTGCACAGATAGCTATTTTTTCACTTTTTCAAGATACTAAAGACATATCCTAAACATGGGCTTGCAGCCTAAACGCAGTTTTCAAGTTTGGACCTCACTAAGGCTGTGTATACTATGGTAGACATATTTGTACCCAGCTTGGTAAACGTCTGCTCGTATGGTTCTAAGCCTCTTGGCTGCAATCGCATGGCAGTAGACTGTTGTGGCTCACCACTGCCCCAAAATCAATATAAGACAGGTCTAAGGGCACCGAGGCTTCTCCAATGCTGAAGTCATTCACTCTTTAATCTCCGATGTTCATGTAGACACACTTGGGCACGTCGATAGGCGTCGGCTAAGCGAAACGTCTAGGTCAGCCAGGGGTGCACGTGCATCCACACCACCTGATACTTAAGGTCAGACTTTGACTTTACAGACATAAAGTAAGATCCGTGATGTAAAGTTAAGTGGAAGTTTATCTGCAAGTAGGATAAAATGTAAAGGACCTAAGAAATAGACTTACAGAGCTCTACTAAGCACTGGTTTCCGTGAAGAAAATCTAAAATGCACACTTTCATTTTGGCCTACCACGAGGTCTAGAAATTCCTAGGTTTTCCACATTTATCAGGTATCTACCATGCAAAACATTATCAAATCCTTTTCTGAAGTAGACGTACACAGCCTCAACTGGCACCCCACTCCCAAATGACACCTTCTATCTCCGTCATGCTAAAAAGGACTTAGATGTTTAAAAAAAGCCCTCCCGAGACCATGTTGTTTGCCGTTAAACAAGCTGTTAGTCTCCATGAATGACATAATGGCATTTTTCATAACTCTTTCCAGTATTTGACCTACGATATTGTTGAGGCTGACAAGTCCGTAATTTGGTACAAGTTTTTTCCACCCTGTCTTGTGATTTGAAGTGATGGTTGAATCCTTCTAACCCTTAGGCAACTTAAATCAACTAGAAGACATCTTGAATATTGTAGTCAGCAAAGTAGCAATATAAAGTGCGATTTGTCTCCAGATTTGGGGTATAACTGACTCGATCCTGTTGATTTTTCCGTGTCAAAAATGTTTTTTGCCTTTGCTATGTCGTCTTTATTGAAAATCACAGCTAGTAGTATTGGTTCTGGGCCTAGTTCCTTATCGAGAAAAGGCTCATGATGAAACACTGACACCAAGCAATCGACCCTGCATTCTGCTTTGTCTTGGTCGTTTTCTGTCATTTGTGGTGATTCTTTTCTGTGTCTAAACCAGGAATCCATGGTTTCATTCTTGTTCCAAAATTGATGAGAACAGCCTCTTTGAACATGCCCCAACACCTTTTAATTAACTTAAATAAGCAGGGAATCTTCCTATCTATCCGAGGATGTACAGCATTTGTATTAACTGATAATTCCTTTGTACTTGATGGCCTGCTGATTACGAGTTCCAAATATGATACCGTCGGTTGTACTCATCTAGTTCTACCTGACTCACGTTGTACTATTTCTCATTTCAAAATCCCTATGGAGTCAAATCTTGAACAGTTGAATATTAAATTAAGTGTCGATGTCTTTGAAGACCATCTGGATTGATTCAAAATCTGGTTCATGACTAAGAAAGATATGGAACATGATTAATTCGCAGCTTACTTCCTGATATTCATCATCAAAGAAGCGTATAACCTATTGAAGAATCTAATTTCATTGTTAAGTCAATCTCTTCAGGAAATATAAATCAGTGATAGATATGAATGTAAAGAGAGAGCACAGTTTCATAAAATGGGTTAGGGTGCAATTATGGTGACCATTTAGGAACTCTAATTCGTGATCGGTTGATTTGTGACATCAATATACCGAATTGTTACGGAAGATACAGTCTTCACTGTGGTGGGTTACTCAATTAGTGTGATATTTTATAAGGTACACTGATCATAAAATTACTGGGGATAACACTTCTTATATATAAGTGCAAATAATATTAGTAAGCTTCGTATTGTCAGTATGACAGTTGACGCGCTTTATGGAGGTTGTGTTGCGACGTGCAACTGGTAGTCGGGAGTAAACCCACGTAAAGTTGAAAGCTTCTAGAAGCTGCAAGCTTATATCCTTCTGGAATATCTCAAATAATAATGATTGCGCAGGTCATCGTCATACGTTTCATACGTGTTTCAGTGGCACACCATAAAAGTCCTTAAAAGTAGAGTAAAAAAAGGAAGGATAAGAAGCTGAGCAGACAGTGTTCATGACTACTGTAGTGAGGTCATTTGTGATGGAATAATAAAGATATGACCACTTAGATTTATTCTCCTTTATTAGGTTAATTCTTAAACACAGGCATTCTAAAATGCTAAAAAAACAAGGGTAAATATAATAATGAATGGGCAAGGAACTGTATAAACGGAGGTTGTTTAAAAAAATCTGAAAGTGTAGAATTATGTGTAGTTTAAAAATGCAATGCTGAAAACGGTGTTCTGATACACAAATGGCTATCTCTTCTTTCTCATCAAGCTTATTTCAGCTGATTTTTATTTTTATAGATTTTATAGGGTCATGAGCAGGCTTCGTTTTTAGCAAATCGTCTCGTTTTGCTTGTAATGGGATTACTCGATAGGAAGTGAAACCAATTCAACTTCACAATCACGATTTGAAGAGGTATTTCGCATAATAAATTAGCATCGACAGCATTGGTTCGTGACATCCCACTTAACCGTGATGAGCCGTAATTTAACAAAATGTTCTGCCCTACAGACATTAGTGTATTGAAGTTATTTCTAAAGTGTGTTGAAATTAGACATATCCAGTCGGTTTGTAAAACTACTATTCATTTCGCCGCAAGTAATATTAAACTTTGTAATTCAGATCACATTAATTTGGGCGATCTCAATGATTAGATGCTATAGTTATTTACAACTTCCAGTAATTTACTTCACAATAAAAAACGATTATATTTGCCCTATCATGCTTTTCACGATTTTTTTGTTGACTCGTAGTGTCGAATCCATCATATCAGTTGGAAAATTTAAGTCATTAAATTTCTGCACTATAGTTAAGCATCAATACCAATGGCTAGTTACATCTCTCTATCCTATCTTTTATCTTGTGCAGGGCGGTTCACACGATGAACAGTAGCAGTACTCAACAAGAACATTACTGCTGAAACAATGGCCAGTGCCCCCGTCGAACAGTGGGTAACAAACTTCGTCTTCCCTTCAATTAAGACTACAAACCATGGACGCCAATTTGTATCTGAACTTTTCCGCTGTCATACTACAGTCCTAGGAATCACATGATTTCGAACGATCGCCTACTATTCACTAGCTAACGGTTGGGAGGATGGTTTCATCGACAATCAAAGGCTTCACTCTCAGATGCAAAACTTTTCACAGTGGACTGACACTCTTTTGTCCGTTTTACTTGGTATTCTCAGTGTGGCGAAGGCTTAAGTTGGATACACTGCAGCGCAAATCGTTCACGGAATAGCACTCCAAGTGATGGGACAGTTTGTGAATCCTTAATGAATATGGTTCTAAACTTACACGGGCAGGCTCACAAACGTTATGCATTCGGTTAAACCTGTTTTCACTCAACCGCAGTCAACTGTTGATTTGTTTAATCCAACTTACGACAAAGTATAAAAGTATTCGTACACCGTGACTCATTACGAAGGACCTTTCAGAATCCTCCAAAGTGAACCTGAGTACTATGTCATTGATAGAAATGGAACTACCATAGAGCCACATATTTAGAGTGAGACCATATTAATGTCGATTTTCATCCTATACACTCGAACGGCACGAATCGCACAATCACGATACACCGACCAATAAGCAACAATTATGAAGAAACTTTGATGATATCCGAAAAGTGCCCAAAACATCGTGGAAGAACGGCAAGGTTTCTAGAACATTTAAAGGAATAGTGAGAGTAGGAGGCTTCACAACGTTTTATTTCGACTTCTTTCGTGTAACTGTGTCAAAAATCGTTATATCTTGTGGACCTGTGTGCCCTGTATATTGGATAACGCAAAGATACCGCTAATCAGAGTACAGCGAGTTGTCGATCGAACCATTGACGCATAAAACACGTGCGAGCAGCCTAGAGTCCTGATAGATCTCGCTTCCTGTCTAGCCCAGCCAGTTAAGACCAGAGCACCAATCTCAGCCTCGGCAATACGAATAATTTATTTCAAATATACTGGGTTTATATACCAATCAAACCGACCACAAGGTACCATAAAATAGAAAATAACATTTGTACAATATTTGGCCAAAAGTGGCTGTGAATGAGGGAGATAGTAATTAATAGACAGGCCATAACTCAAGAATGGTAAGTCGTGTAGTAATATTCTATAAGTCAAATTGAAGCTTATAATAAGAGCAACATGAATATGAATAGTTTAGTTACATAACAATTATACGGCAAAAATATACTCATAGTATCGGTCTATAAATGGATCTCAAGAATTACCATTCATTATTCTTATCGGGATATAACAAAAATACAGTGATTATTTTTTATAATATGCTCATATATATGCGTATATTTTAGTTAATTTTTCCCAAAAAGATCATTGTGCGGAAATTGTTTCCACGTTATTGAATTTTAACAAAACGCACATATACCAATTCAATTTCCGTTTTTCACCCGTTTTGTATAATTTCACACATTTTCTTTCTTTGCTTTGCTAGGACGGTGGGAAGCGATGTCCCACATAACCCCTTATTTAAATATATCTTAGTTAAAGTAATCTTTAATAGTATGACTATTTTCAAAAGTAATTTATCATCTGTAATTTTTGGTGTATTTCTTCTTTTTGTATATGTCTGCCGTTTCGGATCTAACAGTTTACAATTTTTCACTTTTTTCTGGCCATTATTTTCTTTTGTTTTTAGATATTGTTTGTGCCCAGCTACCTTTGAATACATCTGATTGATGACAGGACTGTGAAAAAAGCAGATTGCCTACACTAAGGCTGTCGTTACCCCGTGGGAATTGGCATGAAATGCGATGAGTGCAAGGGATGGTATCACGAAGTTCAAGAAAAAAAGATTCCTCCATCCCCCACTCTCCAAATTGCAGCGAGAAGGAAACGCCTAGTAAACCTAAACACAGGTCTAGGTCTGCTTCTAGCAGGAAAAACAAGAATTTAACTAGTATGTGTAACGCGACTGCGACTGTGACTCCAATAAAAGTTGATGGATTAATGCAGATCAAGAATAATAAACGACCCAATATTATTAATGAAAAGCCAGACCCCCTCAAACAGCAACTGAGACATTGAAGACGTATCGTAATGACGGGTCAATTATTTTTCATAGAGTCAATGAGATTAAAACCTTCGAACTGGTTTCGAGCATGATATCGAGTTAATAAGACAGCTACTAAACCAGCTAACGCCTATGGATATCTTTGTAATCTCCTTGAGGTTTTTTAGGGAGCAGTGACTGCTTTAGCTAGTGTAGCAAAACACACGAGGAAGAATCATGACTTGTAGATGTTGATGTCCATAAATTAACCGAGGCACCTTTCAACACACGAGCATTCACAACACGTGATGAAATATTTGACCCAAAATCGTAATCCAACCAAAATTCTTCTTTAGTTACAGTAGAACTTGACGAAATGGTAGGTGACTTAGACAAATCATTTGATGTTTCAAGCGACACAGCGGGAGCTTCTGTGCAAGAAACTGAATGATTACGTATTGAACTAGAAAAATTCTGTTCTATCGATTTAGCGTGAGGACGGTTCATTCCATTGACGTTAATTTGAACTTCTTCCAGATCAGCGTTACTTTCCATAATGAACAAATTCAATTTCTCTACAAAAAAAGAAATGCTGTATGAATATACTCAAATTCGCGGGAAGTTTAAACTAAGCAGCCATGAGGGAAAATTATCTGACATATTTGACAGGACAATATCATTTGGGAATTTCATATAGAAGACTACAAACCTGTCAGTTTTTAAGTTAACTAAACCCTGTCGTATATGACCTAAGAACACTGGTTGAAATTGTCCTATTTTTAAACCTTACCGAATTTTAAGTCATTATTCCGGCAACCAAGGGATTAAGCATCTGCATGATACATCTTTAATTTCCGGCCATTAAAAAGGATTCCTTGTGACAATCGCAACCGCTAAACGTCCTCAGCCTGTTTAACATTTAATGTATCAAAATAAATCACATACACTAAGAAATTGAAAAAGTGCAAAGTAACGGGAATCTCATTGTACTTTAAGTACGAACTGCAATAGTTGTGGATGGGGATACATAATACATGTCCCAACCATATCAGTGGATAAAGATCCACTACTTCCTCAATTGGTTTGTCATATTAACTTAGTACTATCCACCTAACCTCAGAACTTCTAACTTAATGGTCCCAACATAAAGGAGCATTGCTTCAAAACACCTATGAGCGAATACCAGTGACCTACGAACATCCTCTGTTTTAAAAGGATACGTTCCAACCATTAACTAGAACGAAGCAAACTGCTACAGAGTAAACCCGTCCTTTAGTTGGCAAGCGGACATCTCGCTTACCCCACAAACTTATATGTGGCTAGTCCTAAGTTGTAGCTGACTAACTGACTTACGCCACAAACAACACAAGTTAGCAAAAGCCGAGTGAACTTTCTGGGTTTGTGCCGAGATTTCGTCAAATAAAGGCCTTTCAGGACTGAAGAAATCCTTAAAATAAGTGTTCTGGTCGACCCACTCAATTACTTCACTCTTTATCATTAATTCAGGTGTCAGTGCGAATCTATTTTGAAGTGACATTGTGCGTTTAGATGAAGAGAAACACATCCCAGACATTTTTGCACTCTTGTCCAAGGCTACCAGTAGACTACGCATCTTGTCAATATCTTTAGGAAATATAACTATACCATCTGTTTAGAGTAAGTTCAAAACAGAATCTCCTGGTAAATCGATTCTTGGTAGATTAAATGAGGAAAGTGTTATCTTCCAAAGATGTCTATGACAGTTAAGTGAAAAATGGACGGGCACTTCCATAAAATCGAGAAATGGAACTGTGACTAGTAGTCGGTAGGTATGTTTGTGTTTCAGAACTTGATGACGAGCGAATATTTGGTATACGCAACTACTCCAATTGCGAAAACTAGAGCTCTACCATTAATTTAAAAACTATGATGTCGTCGCCTTTGATTCTTCTATATGACAATGGGAAAAGGTTAAGTTCAGCCTGTAGCGGTAAATAAATTTCCAAAATAAACAGTTCTGTTAGTCACTGATATGGATGCCCAACACATTATTTTCAGTGATTACACATGGCTGAAGGTCCTCGATCACGCACACACACCAGATCACCAATCAGGAAAATTATGCACAAATATAGGAACAAAAATCAAACCAGTGGGAGACACAACCAAAACAAAGAAGTAAACACTGACAAATTTAAGGTCAATGAGAACCAATCAACGTCCAGGTGTACAGAACAAACTGTGAAACGCATATGGAGAAATTCGAACACTTCACTTCTATCTGAAGTTTGTGCTGATGATGTCGTTCAGAAGAACAATAAAAGCCTCACGACCAAACCATCCAGCTCAGAGAACAAAACTCCATCAAAAACACCAGATCACTAATGAGTACGTTGTGTTATGCACTCCTTGCAACCATTACCCAGCTTGAACAAAACGCTTCCCGACGTATTGACAGCCTTCCAAATATATCTTCGAGACACTTTATTTCTGACTTCTGATTTGGCTGGGTTGGTTTACTTTCATTATAAAGGTACTATGTGTAAAGGCATTGTCGAACTCCGAATACCTTTGACATCCTTATCATGTTGCAGAATATCGAAATGTTTTCTAAATAGTGTGATAATAAATTTCATAACAGACCTTCTACATTTAAGTCCTCAGACAACAACTGATTATTGAGAACTAAATGTGATTACTCGTGAAAATTCATTAACCCTGCCACACATTTACAAAATCTCGAAGGCACTGGCGGCCGCCTCATAGTTTTCAACCTCATACTTTTAATCAGGTTACTAGCCGATTGAGGTGCACCCGAAAGACAGAACGGGATTTGTTACTGTAACCGGGTTATACAAGTTCCATACGATACTTGAAATAAAAACCTTAAAAATCATATGCAGCTTCATACATGAAAATAAGAGGGCTTCGAACAATGAAAAAACTCTGAGTTCGATGGAAGGAGTAGGAGTGTAAAGGCGTGACCCACAATGGTTGATGATTGAGGGGAGATCATGTTTTTGTTACTTTTTTGTAAACACATAAGTGAAAGTAGATGTTGGATATATTTATGACCGGTTGATAGTTTTTTAAGACATACCTATATGCTGGGTGATCCATGCTAATATACTTTGAGGTTGAGCGGAAGTCCTGGGGACATTTGATAAATGCCCTTAAATTTGTAGGACGAGGTTATAACTTATTTTGGCTTGGTGGTACAGCTATAGTCACTGTCAGGCGATGACAGCCTATTCCATAGTAAACTATACTGAACTCTGAAAAAGCTGACAACATACCAGTATCTGGTGTGGAACTGTTAGTAGTGAATATGTTGGATCTATCTTTTCTATCATAAAAATGGACCTAATCCCAAAATCGTCGATCAATCATGATGCAACTACCTAATCTATTAGATCTAACGCGGAAGTCATATCATTATCTATACTTACTCATCCTATCGTGAGAGATGGCGTTGAGATTGTGGATCTGGATCATTAATTCTTATTCTCGGTATGAAAAAATTGGAAATCGGAACCTGACATATTCAAGATTTTATTTTATACTCATTTTAGTATAACTGGATTCAGTATTAATTTGCGACATAACACAAATTATTTGTGACTTGAGCTTCATCAATTCATTAGTAATCTTAGGTTATCTCAGCTTAAAATTTTTTTGGAAAACGGAATTTCTGCTGAGTATGTATTGTATAAAATACAGCGCCTATCGTCAATGAGTAGTTGAGAATCCCACTAAAACTGGAAGAGATATTTACCACCTCCACATTGTTCCCCATGGATTATTTTTAGTTGATATCAACGAGTTGCTTGTAACTAAAATTTTATTAGTTAAGCTCGTCAGTCGGACAAATCCCCACTTTTATGTTTCTTAAGAACTCATTTAGTGTTCCGCAAGTGTGTTCAGATTATTTCGACGTTTCTAAAACCTTTTAAAAAATGATAGTTGTGTTTGCGCTTTTACTATTTAGTTTTGTGCTTGTCCTTTTATTTTTTCCTCATTCTTTCTTCTGCGCACGGTCTGTTAATTCTGCACTGAAAAAAAATTATATACTCTCCTCTTGTGGTCCTTGAATTTTGGAGCTAGAATGAAATTGACGTTTGTTTTCAAAATCTTAAAATTTCTTGCCTGTGCATTTGGAATGACAGAGCTGTAGAGACGAACGTATTTCTTTGCACTTCGATTCTGTGGTGAAATTTTGCGACTGATATGATGGATTCGACACTACGAGTCAACAAAAAAATCGTGAAAAGCATGACAGGGCAAATATAATCGTTTTTTATTGTGAAGTAAATTACTGGAAGTTGTAAATAACTATAGCATCTAATCATTGAGATCGCCCAAATTAATGTGATCTGAATTACAAAGTTTAATATTACTTGCGGCGAAATGAATAGTAGTTTTACAAACCGACTGGATATGTCTAATTTCAACACACTTTAGAAATAACTTCAATACACTAATGTCTGTAGGGCAGAACATTTTGTTAAATTACGGCTCATCACGGTTAAGTGGGATGTCACGAACCAATGCTGTCGATGCTAATTTATTATGCGAAATACCTCTTCAAATCGTGATTGTGAAGTTGAATTGGTTTCACTTCCTACCGAGTAATCCCATTACAAGCAAAACGAGACGATTTGCTAAAAACGAAGCCTGCTCATGACCCTATAAAATCTATAAAAATAAAAATCAGCTGAAATAAGCTTGATGAGAAAGAAGAGATAGCCATTTGTGTATCAGAACACCGTTTTCAGCACAGGAGAGTGTTCGTCTGACGAGGAGCTTAAAGTGAAGGTATGAGTTTTGTGATTGGTGGAAAAATGATTTCAAGATCTTCAATGGAGTGTTGAAAGTGTCGCACAGAGCAATTTATGGCTGATAGTTCTCACGGAAAGTGTGATACTTCGAATCGGAATACAGCAACCGTCTCGAGAGGAATGCCAATGGTTTTCAGGTATGGTTAAACCATTGTTGTAACACTCTGACTGCCGAGTCTGATGTGTTTACTGCGATACTAATGGGTGCTTCGGTGTTCTGGTGTACGAGCAGAGTTGCTTTGGCGATAATTTGCTTTATTGAAGAAAATGCTTTTTTTCCAGATATCATCCAAATTGATGGATTTCGCATTTTTACGATGTTGGTCGGTTAAAGGTTTCATAAGGGATGCGCAATTCGGTATGAGCCGATTATAGAAGCTTACTAGGCCTGATTGTGGTCGGTTTCGTGTAATCCAGAATGGCCGGATGCCTTGAGTACCAGTAGAATGTCTAACAAAATCTAGGGAGTCGGTCCCGACCTAACATATATGAGTGTTTACAGTAATGTCGTGCTTTAGTAGTCGTTCGAGGACAAGGCCCAGTTGCTGAGGATGGGATTCTCTCTCTGGACTTGATATCAAGCAGTCATCTATACTTGAATGTACAAAATTGAGACCTCGTAAGACATCATCGACGAGTTCGTGAATAGTTTGTGCAGCACTTTTTAAACCTAAAGGCGCGCGCAAAAATTTATGGATTCCGAAGTGGGCGGTGAAAGTAATATCAGGGATGTCGCCTGTAGCCATGTTAGTTTGGCTATACTCTTAAACCAGATTAGTTTTCAAGAAAACAGTTGAACCCTTTAAGTTAGCTGTCAGGTGGTCACTGTGCAGTGACAGATAAAGATTGCTAGTGGTTTTCGTGTTCACTTGCCGATAATCACCAGTTAGACATCAGTCTCTGCTGTCGTTTTTAGGGGCCATGTGTAAGGGATACGCTCATTGGCCGTTTTATGGCCGGATGTTTCCTGAGTCCATCACATAGTCGAATTCCTTTTTAGCCAACCCCAGCTGTTTGGAAGCTAGCTGACGCGCTTTCGAGAATACAGGTGTTCCTGTAGTCGTGATGTGATGTGTAACGTTGCTGGTTACACTTGGTAATTTCGTTTGCGTTTGATACAACTCAAGGTACTTATCGACTTTTAGTTAGTAGGATGGATCGATCGTATGTTTTACTGTGCCTGGGGACACAAACAGACAAATTAGTATTTTGGTCTACTAACCACCTTTAGCGCTTGTCCACGAGCAAATTATGATGTTGTCGCAGGTCTATGCCAGTGATTAGCATAAATGCATCTACAACAACGAAGTGGGTGAGTTAGCGCAAACCCATGTTAAGATAAATGTACCTCGCACTATATGTGGCGATCTTCGCCGACTACGGTTGCCGTCGACGCGTGCCGGCTGGGAAGTTTCCCGAAACGTTTTCCATGTTGATCAGTTTGGAGCTCGGAAAATCTCAGTTTCCTGAAACTTTGAAATTTTTCGTATTGACTATGATACCAGCACCAATCATATTTATCAGTTTCTCGTGCTCTAAAGATAGATGGTTTTCGTGAAGAACTCATTCGAGTAGTTTGAGATTGTCTACGGTCATGACGAGTGCTAAGGTAACGTGTCAGAGTATGACAGAGTCTCACAGATTGAAATCATGAGTCAATCGAAGATAGACCACCATGGAAAACTTGGAAGCACTGGATGGCCGTTTCGTCCTAGTGTGGGATTCCTCAGGAGTGCGCATCTACGATCCCGCACCCCGCGGGATTCGAACTCAGGACCTATCAGTCTCGCGCCAGGCGCTTGGCCAACTGGACCACTGAGCCGCCATCCAATGGTGTTAATGTCCAACTTCAACCGATCCATGAAGTTGCGCCACCGTACACCATTGTCTTCAGTGAGCTAGAGACTAAGTCCAACTCATGAAGTCCCAACAAGGAGACTTGAGTGGGATAGACTTCAGACCGACAGAACCTCTCTCCTCACATTGTCAGCAAATGTGTTATGCTAGTGAAAACAATAAGACATAATTAATCCATTTGGAAATCTTTGGGAGATTCCGACGTTACAATCTCCGTAACTGAAAAAAATGGACATTACATTTCGTCATGGTCTTCAGCGTCGCTTCCCATCAGCATTCTGAGAGCATAAAAGCCTCACTCCCGGGTTTTATTTTCGAAATGTTAGACAGTTTTGAACTGCAATTATCAAAAACCTTTCAATGTTTGCTAAATATTTTATCCGGATATCGATTCACGCATTATGCCTCTCTACACTTATCAGGATTTTGCTCTCGTAAAAACGTGTTCGCAACAACTCAATTATGGAAGAATCCAAACTAAGAACAGACCTTGTCTAGCTGGCTTTCAGGCTTCACTTCTATAGTTATAGCAGTAGAATTGTATTTGCAGGGTGAGATCATGGTATGTCATACCGCTTTTAACCCTTCATCATAACAGACTACAAATACGTCTCACTACAAAAGTATTCGCCAAGAATAGAACAATAATGACTACATTTAAACGTCAATACAGACGTTTTCGCAGTTCGAGTCAGTGAGTTATGGAACTCTCTAACAGAAGACATATCGACCCAATCTTTGGCTAAATCCACAATAAGAACAGTGAGTGACTACTTTGGTTCCATTGAAACTGGAAAAGATTATTCCAGGCGGTCACTTTTATCATAGACTAACTCCTTTCTTCTCTCTACAAAGACCGTAGCCCAGTCATTGTGAGACACTTTCGTAACGTACTCCAGTTGTATGGAGTTTCACTCATGTCCATGGTTTTTGATGACTTTTGGCATATAGAAGGTGTCAATGAGTTAATCCAACAAAATTTCAGCGATGATTGGGTCTAGTACCTAATAATACCAACATTTACCTCACAACAGAAACGAAGAAGTCAACTCAGTTTGATAATTCAAATCCAGATAGCATTAAAACATTATTTTCAATTATTCGAGGCATTATGAACTAATTAACGTAATTTGACTTGAAATATAATGAACAATCTTTTTTCTGTGTTTACTTAGGCAATTGTATACTGAAGTTTGTTTTAACCTACTGTATAAGAGTACAATGGCGAGGTTCGCCATTAGGTTTGCTTTTGAAGTTGTTGGTGCACGCCCTCAAACTTGTTTAGGATGGAGTCCGTTGCTGCACACAAAGATGAAGTCGTAAGTTGTTTTATTGTTTCTTTCTATGATAAGACTCACGTTGAGTCGAAAATTGACGAGTTGAAAAGAAAGTCTGTGGATGCCAAAGACGTTGCAGATCATGAAGCTAAGAATGGTAACGATGAGCCAGTTGTCAAGAAGATAAGGAAAGGTTTGCATTCTGTTTGGTTAGGTATTAAAGCGTAATGTAGAGACTGATGATAATGATGGCGACGAAAAGGCTCACAGTCCAGAGAATAGACCAACCGAGGGTGAGTTGTACGAAGATGGTAACGAAGGTGAGCTAATTTACTCTTCGGCATTCGTGCCATACCCCTTGATTACTCACACTGATTTTCGACCTATATATATTTCTAAGTTTCATAAGTTCTGTAATTTCGACTTTTAGACGATGCCTCACAAGACACCAAAGGCACCAATGGAACAAGTAAGTATTGTGTTTGTGTGACCATTTCCTAGGCGAACATGTGAACGGCAGTAACGGCGAACATGTCGGTGAACATCAAACTGAAAGTAATTGCTTATAGCCATTGACGCAAATTTTAGAATCAGATGAAGGGTCCGATTCGGAATCGGAAAGGGGTGATGCACCTTCAGTTGACAAGGAGTCAAACGAAGAGGCCAGTGATTAGCCTCGGCATTTCCATGCACTCCAGGCATTTATGTCTTTTTATAACATTTTTATCGATTTTTATTCTAACCCGGCAGCTTTTGCACAAGTTTATTATTCACTTATATCTAATATAACAGATGCTCGGACTCATTTTCTTCTTTCCTCGATTATGGTTGGTCTTGTTTGATAATTTCCCCAACTTCTGTTCGAAATAACCTTATGTGTCCGAACCAAGATTCGTATTCACACCCGGTCTACCACTGACAACGAACTGGTTAGCATCCACTCAATCCGATTTGTCGCTTACAGTCCAGTTTTGGACCTAATTATTGCGTTAAGTATCCCGACATTCGGTCAGTTCGGCGTACGGTTTAATAAATGTATTTGGTCATGAATTTCGCTAACGCAGTGATAAGTACTTCGCCTCTGTGCTGCAATGCAAGAGGATTTCTAGAAATTTCATGTTCTTGAGTCCATCGGATTGGATTTGCCATCTCTAGTTCTCACGGGCACGCATTTAACATTTTTCAGCACTCAAGATGTTGACAGTGTTGTTTAATTGGGTTTTCTCAGAACAGCTAGGTGAATGTGATGTGGTTGCTGGTGACGCAATACTGCGTGTTTCTTGTTTGTTAAACGGGGTAACCGCCTCCTGTACTTGCCGTTGTCCCGAGGTTGAGTTATGTAAGACTTCTTCCGCGGTTCGGAAACACTTCAGGGTGCCGTGCGAATACGATTTTGGGATCCCAACTATCGATCCTCTTATTTGGAGGAGTTCACATAGCGTTCAGTTTGGTTCTTAATAGTAGTCTCCAATGAGGACCGTTGAAGTAGTGCCTTGCTTTGCGATCGCAAGTTGCAACAAACCGACTCGTGACCAACTGCTCACGTAAACTAACCCTTTGTTTTGACGGGAGTTGTGTGAAAAGGATTGTGTAACAAATTATAACGACTATGATCTTTAAGCAGTAACGATATGAACACGTCCAAAAATGTTGCTTGTCCTAATGTGTGCATGTCCCAAAAAGTTGTACAAAATCGAATATAAGTTCACTATGAATCAGTAGACCAGACACCAGCCTGGATATGATGTGTCAAAATCCTACAAACTGTAAACGCAAGTTCAGCACACCAAGGTCCATGTGCACGTACATGTTCATTGATGGACTTGACATTGCCCTTTTTTGGTTTGGTCCATCTGTAAGAACTACCAGGTGACTCAATAGTCATTGAAATATCAGTCAAATCTTTTTCGAGGGAATTTGTCACCGCAGATAAATTTGCTCGAGACATGATATTCTCAATATTCGCTTTCGAGGTGTTTCATCTAACTGGGGCAGGTTCAAGTCCCGAGTGAACGTACAGCTAGTGAGACCCGAACAGGGGGGAATGCGCATCCTCGATTTCACCGCACACCACCGTCTGTCTCTGCTCATCTTTAGTTCCGTCTGCCTTAATTCAGAATATATATATATATCAGAATGTTATACTAATTAAACCTCTAACCTTTCATATTAATGGTCTAAGGGCATATAGAAAGGAAATTATTAGGTAACCAAGAAATATTTAGTGAATCAATCAAACCCATCCATTGACTTGATTTTAGTCCTCATTCATGTTAAAGTGAAAGCAAGATTACTCTTCGTAGTGTCAACTCACAACTTCTAGTGATTCGTCACAGGCTGAAGTCTAGACTGAAATTTATATATGGAGTGACGTTTAAATATTCTTGTTGTATCAGACCATGAATACGTGAAATTGAAAATGCAAAACATCAATCCCCAGGTCAGTGGTGTAAAGGTCATTAGATAATGAGGATACATGTATACAGTACACAAGGGTTATGGACTGGTGAAACGACTCCTAGATGCTTCCTAGTTTTAAATGGTCAGTATTGAGAAACTATCATGTAATTAAATAAGATAATTTGATATCAAATATATGTTTGGAGAAGTAGAGCAGAAAGTTCCATCTAAATAACAATTAAACTTGGGGATAATCATGTTTATCAAGATAGACGATGGTTAGGTCTGTGGATTTTCTTGTCAACCATGTTCGTTGTACGTAAGCTTTAGGACTGAGATGTTCTAATTTAATGATCATTGTTTCGGTATTCACCGCATTAATTAAATTATATCGGCAACTATTTGTTATGTTAATCGAGGTAACATGGGGGAGGAATTTGAACTCAGCTGGACCTAATTTTTTAAAATATTCGTCTTTATTTGTTAAGGATGTCCATCCCACAAGGTGTAGACAATCAATGGTTTGTACAGTTTCTTCACACAAACGAATCACGTAAGGGGTGTTGATTGATCATGTCTTCCAAATGGCTATGGTGATTTGCCGTATAATCAATTCTTTTTATTAAGGACCTATTATGTATTAAACAGATTTGTGGCAATGATAGATAGTCTAAAGATTGGAAATGTCAAATAGAAGTTAATAAATTTCTCCGTCAGTACTATATATAAAAATAAACTTGTTTCTGACTATGAGACAATTCTGCATATCGTTACCCATTTTGAATAGTTTGCTCGACATCAGTGTTTGGGAACTTTAGTAGGATCTTCATTAGTGTCTAGCAGTGAAAAACAGTAGGCGTTCACGCTTTCAGCTATATGCTTTTTGTTCGAGTAGTACGTAGAACGTTAAGATAAGATTGCGTGATAGATCTTATTCGAACATATGAACCAGTAATTTGTATTCTTGGTGTGACGAAATATTAGAAATCAGGACCTGAAAAGTGTAAGATTTATTTTAGTTAGTAAAATTAAAGTTAGTAGAACTGGATTCAGTAGTAGTTCGTGACATAGTACGAATTATTTTCAAATTCAGCTTTATCAATTCATCTACAACCTGAGTTCATCTAATTTCGAGACAACTTATTTATGTACGTCGTTGCAGATACGAAAGAACGAAACAAATTCGAAAAATGCTTTAAATTTTATACCTTCATTTGTTTAAAACTCTGACGTGCTTAAGAAGTGTTCACAGTTGACATGACATTCGCGTGCGAGCATCCGGATTAGTAGTTCCAAGTTCTATCTCTGAATATCTAAAAGTTTAATGAATAAAACCTTACAAGCAGAAACAGTATACGGGTACGATGATTAACGTCTCCAAGTGGTACTTCTGCATTATGCACAGGCACGAAAACGCGTTGAGCAGCTTTTGATTTCAAGTTTCCATGCTAAACACAAAAATATCCTTTAAAAAATTAGTCACCATAATTTATTTAATAAAAACAATTTGCTTAACAATTTTCATACTTTGAGTATATTCACTGAGGTAAACCATCGTTGAAGAAAAGAAATGACCGATCTTCATTTCATATTAACTAAGACCTACAATTTTACCTGAAACATTTCCAAACCTATATTTTTGTAATAGTACGATTATAGTTCTCTCCAAATATTTTTGTTAGAACTACTGGTAAGTAACAAGTACTTTGTCATATCATCTATTAAGTAAATATACCTATATTTACATTGTGATCGCACCCACAATAAATAGAATTGTTTTACCTCGTTACTTCTAAATGAGTATTTTAATCATGTGCTCAGTTATGCGCCATTCCTCATTAGCACAACAAGATGAACACTGGATTCAGAGGTGGTAATATATAAAAGAAAGATTGCACATAAGGACATAGTACAGGAAGAAAAAATTAATTCGTAGAAAGAAAGATATGAGACGATTTTAATCTCACGGTTTAAGGGAAGGAAGAGAGTGTATACACCGACGCCATTGTGATCGATTCTGAGCCATGTCACCAAGAGTCTCCAACCATTGGTTACGATAGTCACGCGGACCCCAACCAAGTAGTCTGCATCTACCAACATGGCTCAGACTAGAAGTTAGTGACTTCAAGCACTGATGCCATGTTTTGGTTTGGCCGCCCCTAACTTTCTTCCAACCGTCTCCAACAATAGTCAGCATTGGGCTCTGTGTTAATCGGTGTTTGGGCATACGTAAAACGTGGCTCAATCATCTCAGTCGATGTTGATTCACAACCTCATCAACTGATTTACCATCATGCACTGATACCCTGCGTCTAGCCTAACTATTAGTTATCCGGTGATTCCAGCAGGTGCTTTCAATATTTCTAAGGCCCCTGTGCTCGAATACTAGTGGCTTACGAGTATCTTCTACTCCGTAATTGCCACATTTCGCATCCGTAAAGTAGAACAGTACGAACTGCTGCGCAGTATACTCGTCCGTTTATTGATAGACGGATATCTTGCCTTCGCCTTAGGTGACGTTTTAAAGGATCAACAAATTGTAATGTTGAGACATAATGGTAATTTAATTAAAAATGTATGTGTATTGTTTCGCTCTTTTTGTCTCTTTTTTTTCAAATAAAACGCTGAGGTTTTACGTGTGAAACTTTTCACAATATTTTATCAAGAAAATATTTGATGTATAATGTCCTTTAATGACGATTCAGTATGTATCCTTCAAGTTTTGAATGTGGAATAACATTTGTAATGGATAGTAAAGATATATATATATATATATATATATATATATATATATATATATATTCCACGAAAAGAATTTGGTAGAGTTAATATTCAGTTGATTCGTTTCATCAAACTCCTTTTATGATTGCTATAGTATTTTTTTCAATACATTATCTTATAATATAGGTGTTCGGATTATCACATTAATTGATGGATCCCAGTCATTTACTAATGAGATTTTTCCTTTAACTAACAGAACAACCCATTCGTTTTTTTCTTCTGTCGAAAGATTCCTGCCTCAATCTAATTTATATGAATGAAATTTTAAAGTCCTGGAACAATAGGTTCATCAATGGCAAATCCTTTCGGTGATTTCACTGTTAAAGCTATCCAGTCACATGTATATTGAATTGGTCCAAAGAAATAATTTGTGTATTCAAAATTAATGATAGATAGTGAGTGTCAAGTAGCTGTTTTATCATACTGTGGGGCCCATCAGCAATACATACTTATGACTGAGTCAAGTTACCAACTCCCAATGTTGGTCGTGCTA